TTTTGAGTCGATTATTTTGCACTCAAGTGTATTTAACAGATGTGTACTTCCTCGGCATTATTTTGTGTTTTGTGTTTTCAAATTAATATTTTGCGTTTCAGTTCCCGTTAAGTGTTTTGTTTATTCCAACTTATGGGAATGAATTTTAAAAGATAATTGCTCACTCTCGCTTGAGGCATGGTCAAGAGTGGTAGGCTTTAGCGTTATGTCCAAATTCTTCGTCGAATTTAAAATGTCTTCTTATTTTGTGTTCCTTTTGATGCAAAAATAGGAGCAGTTTATTCAGTTAAATGTGCAGTTGCAGTCTAATTCTACCTGTCTCAGTTTTTTAAGAAGAACAGTTTCCAAAGTTTGTGTTCCGGTGCCCTAACTTATAACCTCAGAAAATCGCAGTGTGAGATGCAGTCCCTTTGTTTGTGTGTCACAGTTTGAGATCCAGTTCTACCCCCAGAATTTTTGTCTAAAACCCTAGTGCAATCTAGGTAACTTTTTTTGTGATCAAATTTTAAAGTAAAGACAGACATTTTTTTAAAATAATAATTGTTTTCATTAAATGTCATTTTAAATGTTCTGTTTTAAATTTAATGTTAACATTATGACAACTAGTTTTATTATTTTATTAATTTGTTATTGTTTTAAAAAAAGGTTAACCTCCATGCAGTAACAATTTTGAAAGTTTTTGTGGCGATTTCCCATTGTAAATATTTAGGACACATGTAAGTTTTTTCTTTGTATTTTTGTATTTTGCGACTATTGATATAATATTTTTGCATTGTCTATTTTGTAAATGTTTAATTTTTTTTTAACCATTTTGTTTATTTCCCTCTCTAATCATTTTTTGAGTTTCATTTGAAAAGATATATTTTTCATTTTTAACAATTATTTCAATAGCTACAACTAGCTGTTGTAATCGTTATAATTTGGCACCACGAAGCGGCGTCCTTTTTAAATTGCTAGAGGTATTTCCTTCCTGTTTTTTGTTTTGTTTATCCCAAGAGGTTCATGTTAGTACCCCTTTGTTTAATTTTTTTGTAGTTGCCCCAATCCAACCCCTTGCCATTTACTTATCCACAACCCCAGCTCTCCAAACAAACCCTGAGTGCCGTTCGCACAAGTAGCGTTTATTTTGCTTGCCCTATCTCCACCCCCATAGTTTCTGTCCCCAAATTTCTACCCCTAATAGTAGGCAAAATATATTCCTTACAATTTGTTACAAAATGAAGTTAGAATATTTGGTGAGACGCTACGGTCGTTATGTAGCTTTGCAAAAATAACGGCAAATTTGTCGAAGAATAAGTGATGTACCCCAAAGTAATGTGTCAACTCTGATAGAGGTAATCACTGTGTTTTTTTTATTGTAAGCCGTCTCTCATCGTGAGATTTTTGAAAAACGGTGTTTCCAATAAATCTCTACATGTTCCATTGTCCAGTTCCTTAAGGAGCCGTTCCCAAGGTATGCAGTGTCCCAATTTCAACCTCAAATAATCAGAATATTTTTCCAGTGAGATGTAGTTTTTTTGATCGTGAGTCAAAGAAGGTAACCCCAGAAATCTTAGAGTGTATACAATGAAATCCAGGTAACTTTTTTGTGTTAAAATTTGAAGTAAAAATAAACAGTTTAAAATAATAATTGCTTTCATAAAATTTAAAAATAATGTAATATGTATTTAATATAGTAAATCTTAGGGTGTGGTTATGCTGTCAATTAAATTGTTTTCTGTCATCAAATTAAATGTTGACCCATGACAGCTAGCCTTAATTTGTTGTGACATTTTTTGATTTGTTTGTAGAAAAGGTTAACATCTAGTATACATAGTTTTGTTAAAAATATATATATTTTTAATTTTAATAATTTATTTCTGCCACAGTTACAATTTAAAAACAATTTTGAAAGTCTTTGTAGCGATTTCCAATTGTAAACTGATAGGACATATGTACGTTTTTTTTATTATTTATTTTGGTTTAAACCCATGTAATTATATATCTTGTAATTACATTTGATTATCTGTATATGTAACTGTTTTTTTGAGACAAAAATAAATGTTTAATTCATTTCCCTAATTATTTTGTTTATTTTAGTTTAGAAAAATGTCCTAACCCCTTTTAGTGTTTACTTTTTTAGAAAGAAAGTCTTTTTTCCTTTTTTCCAGCAAGACTAGGACTCTTCAAAGCGGCGTCCTTCTTTCAAACAGCTAGAGGTATTTTCTTGTTTTTATTTGCCCATTTATCCAGGAGATTTATGTAACTACCCCCTTTTGATTCATTTATGTAGTTGCCCCAATCCAACCCGTTGCCATAAACTTATCCACGACCCCAGTGTTCCAAACACACCCTGAGTGCCGTTAGCACAAGTATCGTTTTATTTTGCTTGCCCTATCTCCACCCCTATAGTTTCAGTCACCAAAATCTCTCCTCTCTCCTCCAAAATATATTCGTTACAATCTAAATCAAAGTTATAGTTAATTAAGATAAACAAAATAACATAAATTCATAATCAGTTTTTTAATGATCTAAAGCTCCAGGTGCCATTGAAGTTGTTAAATTATTCCAAAACGTTTATCTGCTTCTAGGAATGTGTCCACACAGTTTGGATATAATTAGTTGTTTTCTTTCAGTCGTTATGCCCCAGGAATGGACTTGAGTGTGGGTTTTGTCATTCCCTGTTTTGCAATCTTTGCATTTAGAATGTTTATTCACTTTCTGTCTCTGAGGTGAAGCTGGTTTTGTACGAAAAAGTATATTTACCTCTAGAAAAATTTACTTGAACCATTTGATTTAGGTATGGATTGATTTATTGATGATTGATTTAGGAATAATTTTATTCAGTTTATATGCAAAAGTACCATTCAAAAAAGTCAGCTAATTCCATAACAATTACTTTAGCATTACTTGCTGCATTTGCTACTGCATCCGAAAAGTCTTTAAAATCGTATATTTTACCCATTTGCTTCATAGAGCGGTCCACTTGATAGTGGAATGAGTCCGGAGCCGTGAAGGTATGGCCAGGCTCAAAATACTTAATACTTAATTTTTCAAGTGCGATATCCTCAGAGTTAACAATAAACGTAAAGAAAGTAAACAAAGCCCAGTTTTTATTTTGAGCAGATCAATTCTCAATCCACATTATAACATTTTTAGCGTCTCGGTGAGACAAAAAAATTTATAGAATGTGCTGGCAGTATCCGACTTACTCCGTCCGGCTATTCCTTCGTGCCATAAAATTGCAGTTGGTACTGTTGGCTTTCTAGTAGTGAGACAAAACTTTCATTAAAAGCAGTTATTCTAGGTGTAAAAATAATCTCCTTAAACATATCCATTCTCGGAAGCATTATGACCTAGAATATCACAATAAAATAAAACATTTGATACCATTGATGTTTCGTCCCAGTTACTTTTTGCAGACGAGTCAGTTTGATATTCTCATCTGGCAGCAGTTTAGCTGCCTTTAAAAGTTGTATTGGTACATTTCGGAATCCTGATGCTTTTCCAGTTTTCATTTGATGAACTTAGACGTTTTGAGAGGAAAATCATCAGAAGAATCTTTGTGCCTTATCACGACATTAATAGCAACCAATACCGAATGAGAACAAATGCTGAGGTCAAGCAGATGTATAAAGCGAGCGACATAATCCAAGAGATTAAATCCCAACGTCTAAGATGGGCTGGCCATGTCCATAGACTCACTAATAACCGCCTTACCATAACCATAACAATTTTACCATAACAAAAACGAATAACGAACAACACAATAATGAATTATAAGAAAATCCGGACTAAACAATGATCTGACTCGTATCGTGGTCTACTGCAGAGTGACATCATTCTTAAAAATCGTTCGCCTTTCCGCATAACTTTGCCACCAATTTAAGTGGATATTTATTTGACGAAGCGGAATCAACATCAAAGAAATACCATCTGTTATATAAACTAACATAAAATGATTATATTATCAATCACAGAGACGCAAAAGGATTGAAAATATTTGTCGGTGTTTTAACATGTACGATAGGAAATAGAAATGCTACACAGTAAGAATCAGGATTTCATTTGATAACATAAAAACAATTGTAAAGAAATATTAATGCCTACCTTGTTACACTTTGCACAGCTATTTCTTATAGGAACCTATGTATACTATGATTGACATCCCAATCACAACTCGAAACCTTGAATCAACTCTTTATAATTACTTGCTTTGTAAAATTCCCCTGGCCGCCCCTACCTATGAATCTCTTATATTTATTTATTTTTTTTTTGTAATGTATAAAAATAAAACAAAAAATATTATCTGGTTTTCAGTCACAGATCCATAAAAACATTAAAAAGCTGTTTTACCACTAGACCAAACCTTGTGTTCACAGAGGTTGTATTCAGTTTTTGTGAATTGTGCCAGCAATATGATTATCAGAGCCAGCAATTGAGTTCCTATATTTGTTGATTATTCCAACAATTGTTCTATACAAGCCGCCTTGTTACAAATAGACTGTGTATTAACATATCTACATCTTAACTGCCCAGATCAATAGGAGGATTTTCACCACTATAAAATATTACAAACTTAAACCATAGTCTGATTCAATTACAAATAGACTGTGTATTAACATATCTACATCTTAACTGCCCAGATAAATAGGAGGATTTTCACCACTATAAAATATTACAAACTTAAACCATAGTCTGATTCAATTACAAATTATTCTGTTTGAATTAGTTATTTTATTTAGCGTATGGAGTTAAATTATTCTGTTTGAATTAGTTATTTTATTTAGCGTATGGACTTAAATACACATATGTATATATGTTTGAATTCATACACATTAAGTGGAGCAAGGTGGAGCTAGTAGCTATAAAACATACAAATAAATATCATCTGTATTAATTATAAAAATTACAAACATCTACTAACAGAAGCAAAATATATTAGTAACCAACCAAAAGATTATGCACTACTAAGATACTTGTAAATATTTCTATTTTTTTTTAGTAAATAAATTACTTACTTGTTTTTAAATACAGCAATATGAAGAGGTGTGTTTCCATTATTGTCATTAATATTAACACTTTTTCCAGATTTAATTAATGTTATTACTTCCTCCAAATTTTCATCCACTACAGCCCTCAATATACCACTAACCAAGCATGGATCATCATAAAGGAAACCTTTATCAGGAGTTGTTTGTGTATTATCCTTAATAAAAAATTCATTGTAAGCAGGTTTTAATAACAAGGAATATAGTAATTCTAAACATATCAGAATCACGCATAATTTCTATATCATAAAAACCCATAAGCAAATTTGCCTTTTTTGTGTGGAATATTTTCATTACGTAACAGTTCTAGAATTTTTTCCCAAGTTGCAATTTCACTTATTGATCTTAAATATCTTTTATAGAATTCAAAAAATCTGTAAGCAGTTTATAACTAGGGTTAGATAATTATGTATTTATATTACTACCATCTTTCTAAGAGTCTCATTAATATTCAGCTCAGCTGGGTGCTATTGTAATAGGTGGGAAATTCCATAAACAAGGGATCTACCTGTTTTATGGAATGATCCCTTGCTTATGTAATTTCACACCTCAACATAGAATCCTGCTGAGCTGAATATTATTGAACCTCTTAGATAGATAGCTAGTTTATTGGTAATGATAATACAAAGTATTTTTACAATTCAAATAATAAATGTAGGCAGTAGTACTATAAATGCATAATTATCTGAACCCTACTTATAACAAATTTTGAATCTTCAGCCAATAACTACCTTAAGATGGTTAAATGTTTAAGGAAACAAAAAAGTTTTTCATTGATGTTATTAAAAATTTGTAGTTTTATTTTTAATTTAAAATAATATATATTTATAAATGTTAGGTATTACCATTGGAGATAAAATACCAAACCTAGAAATAAAAAGAACAGGAATCACGGGTGCAGTTGAAAAAAAAGCCATGGCTAAATGGGCACATATTGTCAAGTTGACGGATGATAGATGGACCAGAAAGATTCTTCAATAGCAACCAAGACAAGATGCATATCGAAACTGATGACGACCACCGACTAGATGGGCAGACGACATAAAGGGAATCACCACAAATTGGATGATAATTCAAGATAGAAATAGGTGGAAAAATTTACTGGAGGCCTACATTCAGCAATGGACAAATATAGGCTAGTTGATGATGATGGTATTTATAACTAAGCAACTGAAGGCATTTTTGGAGCCAAATTTCCCAGGTGTACAGTGTGAAGAGCATTCATCATCGCACCCGGAACATTATGCCTCAATGAAAGTTACCATCAGACAAGACGATTGTAGAGAAGCATGGAAACGAGAGGTTTGGCCAAATGGAGCAGTAGTCTCGAGGTTTTTCATGAAAAAGAGGATGCCACCAATATAGGAGAATCCGCAGTTATAAAGGGCAGTATCATCCATCAAAATGCTCAATCAGTGGGAAATTGTATGGATACATTCCAAGAAGAAATCTTACAACATAAAGAGTGCATCGCAGTTTGTTTAAGTGAACATTGGAAATCCAATACCCAATTACACAATCACAATTCAGTCTCAATTCAATCGCAAATTTTTACTTTAAACCAAAGCACAAAATTTCTGGGGGTACATATTGACCAAAATTTAGATTTTGGAGTGCATATAAAGGAGATCTGTGACAGGTTAGCATCTATCTGCTACTCTTTCAGAATAACAGCAAATTATTTGGACGAAAAATGTAAACAAGTTGTATATTTTTCAAATTTTCATTCTGTAATGCGATTAGGAATACTTAATTTTCTGGGGGAGAAGTGGTAACACTGAACAGGTTTTTATATTACAAAAAAGAGCAATCAGAACTCTACTTAACTTGAAATACAGAGATTCATGTAGAGGTAATTTTTTTTCAAAAAGCTAAATGTACTAACAATGGCTGGAACATACATATATGAATGCTTCCTTTTCATTTTTTTAAATAGACATAAATTCTTAAAACACATAACAAACCATAATACTATACATGAAACAATCCCATAAACTATAATATACCAATACATAGACTAACAGCATCTGAGAAAACCGCAGAATATGCCTGTAATAAATTCTTTAATAAACTGCCTTACAGCATCAAAATAGAAACTGATATAAATAAATATAGAAAGTCTGTTCAGCAATTGCTCATACACCTTGAACCATACAAAGTTGAAGAATACCTTCAAGCTGACCTGCAGGGAGACTGAGTGCTCTTACCTGAATCTAAATGTCACTGTTATTATCATTATATTTTAAGATTACTTTTATGTTAAGTGTAGGTTGTTACAGCAACCATTATAAATTGTAATTGACACCATTCTCTCTATTGACAATTTATATTTGTGTGTAACTTGTGAATCCTGAGAATAAAGCTTTTTTCTAGTCTATTATATTCTATGTATAAACAATATAATTTATCTTAAATATCTTCTTTTTACATAATTTAATCGGTTGTTATGTAGTTCAATATGTCCACTATTAATAAACATTAAGATTGTATACTGTTTATGATATTTGTATAGGAAAAAAGATATTTCTATTCTATAAAATCAATAGTGGTGCATACACTATAGAAAGAACCTTTTGCACCAAATATCCAAAATGGACTTAAATGCAATCAAATTGAATGACCTGTAACATAATTTGCATGTAATACATACATGTAAATAAATAATAAAAATAAATAAACATATTGAGTTAGCAGCACCATGTAGTATTGATGTAATTTATACAGCAAAAAATCATGTTTGAACCAGCAAGAAATCATGATTCAAAAAAAAATGAACAAAATCCTGCTTTGTGGGGTAAAATTATAAAAATGTATTCAAGTCTTATTCCCATTGTTTCCTAGCTTTTCATACAATTTTTCCAATGTTTTGGTACACTCTTACTTTACAATTTATTAAATCAAACCAAACTCTTCTGTTATTCATATAATGAAGCTGATGGCATCTTCTTTGCCAATATAAAAATACTATAATGCATGGACATTTTTTTTTGTTTTTTGACCAAATGATAGATGTGTGAACCTGTGGATACTGCTTGCACCCTACATTTCCTACTCTACTATAATGTGAATGTGGACTAAGGAGGTGTGATAACACTAATTTGGAGTGTTCGATAGAGGTGTACTTAAGAATTACTGGTTTAAACAATATTTAAAAATTCACAGGAATTAAAGAAAAAAAAGATGTTAGTATGTCAACACTGCTTCGTTTTTAGTAGCAATTAAGTTATTATATAAAAGTTAAAATTACAAAAGAACTGATTGCATATAACTTAACCAATTTTTTTTTTTTTTAAAGATTATACCAGCGGCGGCCGGCCAGGTGAAGTAGGTGAAGGTGAGGTTCACCAAAAATATTTAAGTAAATTGAGACAAATAAAATAAAAAATAAAAGCAACATTATTATATCTAAATTCTGAAATCAATTATGTATTATCTTTTAATTAATCTAAAAATTAAAAAAGACAGCTAGCTTTATTAGCGGTGCAGTAGGTACTTGACGGTCAAGTCCTGACCTGTGTCACTTGCTGTGTATGATTCAAGAATAGGTGAATATCATTTTTGAAATGCGAAATCCATCTGAATAAGCGTCCACAGTTGCCATGGCAACGTGACGTCAGACTGTCTCTAGAGTGATAGTTGAGAAAAATAGCTAGTGCAGTTCCGTTAAAAATATTTTACTTCATCCACTGGACACTAGTTGCATGGGTACCTATTTAGTATTCACAACGACAATATTTTGAAATTTAGTCTATTATATAGATATATTTTATATAGTATAGTGTATAATATAGTATTTACTAGTTTAGTTTTTATATAACTTTTAACGAATTTTTAATGAGATTTGAGAGCGACATAGGTACCAAAACTCCTTTTGGCTCTGGCAAGCTTTCCTCATCTTTACCACTTTTTCAGGCCACAAGCCGCCGCTGGCTTATACAGATGTATAACACTTCACATTTGTATTTTGGGTATAAAACATAATTATAGCTTTTTTAAAAAGTGTAATTAAAATTTATACAGGAGCATAACCTGACGTTTTCTATCTAATCAGATCATCCTCAGTGCCTTCCTTTGTAATTAAAGCTAACACTAAAATTGTAGCTGTGACATCAATATATGGTTTTACATTATTCCGAATTTAAATTCGACAATCTTAATAAGAAGAAAACAAAGTACATGGTAGTCAGTAAGCACGAAATATTAACTACACAGCTTTTGGTTAACCAACATCCAATTGACAGAGTGACATTAACAGCCAATGGGATCACTCCAGTGAAATAAAACAATGCAAAGGAAAAGCGAGATCAGTGTTCATAATGATGAAGTCTCTTTTCAGAAGTCACGATTTACCACTTGCTACCAAAATCTCTCTCATTAGATGCTATGTATTTTCTACATTATTATACGGAGTAGGGGCCTGGACACTCGAGGCATTCGAGATGTGATGTTACAGACATATTTTAAACATTTTATGGGGGGGATCGTGCGACTAATGTTGAGGTCCGACGTAGAATAGGCAAGGAATGTGAGATTATTAACACCATCAAAGAGCGCAAACTAGAATATCTTGGCCATGTTATGAGGAATGAACAGAGATACAGCTTGTTGCAACTCATTCTTCAGGGCAAGGTATTTGGAAAGAGAGGACAAGGAGAAGAATAACTTGGCCTCAACACCTGAGAAAGTGGTTTAATACATTGACAACCGGACTATTAGGAATAGCAGCAAGCAAAGTTAGGATAGCCATGTTGATCGCCATTATCCAGAACGGATAGGCACCGTAAGAAGAAGAAATTTAAATTCTAATGTGACTCTAGTAGGTCGATGACACTGGATAAAAATTTAATACTTAAAGAGCAACATGTTTCTTTGCTCGAATTGAACATGTGGTTAAAATGACAAAGACCAACTCCATTGATCTGTGTCATTTTAACTGACAAGAACCACATGTTCAAGTTGAGCAAAGAAGCATGCTGCTCTTTAGGTATTAAATTTTTATCCAATGTGATCGACCTAGAGTCACATCAGAATTTAAATTTGGAATAATGTAAAACCATATATTGATGTCACAGGTACAATTTTATAATAGTGTTAGCTTCAATTACAAAAAAAGGCACTGAAGATGATCTGATTAGATCGAAAACGTCAGGTTATGCTCCTGGATAAATTTTGATGACACTTTTTTAAAAAAGTTTTAATTTTATGTTTTATAACTAAATAGAAATGTGAAGTGTTTTACTTCTGTATACGTTTTTTAAACGATGGTATACAGCCAATTACTGAGATTTTCCCATTCATTTTTAGATTGTTTTTAATTATCTTGATTCTAGTTATCTTAAAAATTATGATATGATTATGTTAAAATTGCAGTTATTTTCACTTACAAACATTTCCTCATCAGACTCTGAGTTTGTTTCAGAAGAAATACCTGCAGGATCAATATTTTCATCCACGTCCATCTCAGTTATGTGTAAATTAGATGTGAAACCAAGTGAAACTCTGAATTTAAATGGGTACTATTTTGTGGTTTTCAATTCATATGACAAAAAGTTTGTTTGTAAGACGGCCGATTACTAAAAATAGTGATATTCTATTTATACTGTTTAATCTAATATATTATTTTTTATTTTATTCACTTCTATATTTATGTACTTGTATTTATAAAACTTCTCGATCAGAAGTGGTGGTTATCATAACCACTTAACCTGATGAAATAAAATGTCAATTGAAATGTTTACTTCTTCCATTCATTTCATTGGCTTTACGAACCAGGGCTATCCGGCCAGTATCTGCGTATTGCTGATTGTACAAGAGCCTAGTGGCCTAGGCCTAAGGTATACTCGGTTCGATTCGCTATTCCCAGTCCGAACTGTAGTTAGTGAATTATTTGAATATTGAATAATTATTTTTTTGCGAAGTTAGTTACTTTTGACAGACTAAAAGTGGCTGGAAATTACTATACAACCAAGCACACGTACTCATAGCCAATATTAATAGTAAACAACCTAAATAGTTAATAAAATAGAACTTTGCGAATTACCAACAATCAATATTTATTTATCTGCACCATATAATAAATAGTTATGTTAAATTATAACAACTAAAATATGTTTTTTTAAATATATACTACCCAAAATTTGGTGGGTTTAGTATACATTTCCACTATTTAAATAATTCTTCTTTTTTTCAAAGAAAGAAGTCTGCGATAGTAGTATAGTTGAGCTATTAATACTAAGAAGTAGGAATTGTTGTGTTGTAGGTTTCCGACAATTAATCTGTCAAAATATGCCCGAGCTGAGTGAATGCAATTAACATCTGGACCAAACAATGACGTATAATATAACGTCATTGGGACCAAAGAATAAATAACAATCAGAATGCCCATTCTCAGATGCCGCTCTTGAAGTTTGTCAGCACGCGATCGCCATATTTTAAACGGAAACATAGACTCGAATTGAGAAATTTGTGACAAGCTACAACAGAACCACAGAATAATAAACAATCAGAATTCCCACTCTCCATGGAAAATTAAGTACGCGCATCTCGTTCGCGCATACGTTCCGCCATGTTTTAAAGGGAACCAGTGTTTATGTGGTTTGCATAAAAAAATTAATCCGGTTTATTTGACTTACGGCAATCATAGATATACTATACAATTATATTAACATTGTTAAATATAATAACATAAATATAATAGAATTAAACATAAATATAAACAATTACATAACCTCACAAATCGTATGTCGTGTTATGTGTTTCCTTCTAAAACATGGCGCGTGTGCTGAAAAACTTCAAAGGCGGCATCTAAGAGTGGACATTCTGATTGTTTATTATTCTGTGATATTATTTATCTATGTTTATAGTTTGACGGACTGTAGACGTAGACGCACTGCAGACGTAACAAACGGACTGTAAATATTATTTTAATTTATAAATCGACGGAGTGGAATTTTCGCGCATGGGTAGAAAGAGTGGCTAGACTGATGACCATGATACAATAATATCCTTTTATTATTTATTATTAATATTTTATAAATTATTAACGTCCATTGTAACAAATAATCAACAAAATCAAAATTCGAATATGTTGATAAGCAACTTTACAAAAGGTAGGCGGGCCAGACAGATGTGAGGATCACAAACTCATTAGCCTGATGAGTCACACTTTAAAGATATTCTTAAAAATACTACATCAAAGATTATACAAAAAATGTGAATAGGACATCAGTGATTCCCAGTTCGGGTTTAGGCAAGGTTTAGGAACACGAGAAGCAATAGTAGCAACACAGGTGCTGGTCCAAAATTGTTACGATCAGAGTAAGGATGTGTTCCTATACTTTTTAGATTACCAAAAAGCGTTTGATCGTGTCCAACACCACAAGTTAATGCAGATTTTCAAGAAAGTTGATATAGACCAAAAAGACATAAGATGCATTAAAAACTTGTACTGGCATCAAACGGCACAGTTAAAAATAGACAATTCTATATCTAAGCCCATACATATAAGAAGAGGCGTTCGACAGGGATGTGTGCTTTTCCCTCTTTTATTTAACATTTATTCGGAAGCCATATTTCAAGACTCTTTGGAGGATGCAGAGATGGGAATCAAGGTGAATGGAGTATTGATCAACAACATACGATATGCTGATGATGGTGTCTTAATTTGTGACAACATAGTCGATCTTCAACAACTTGTCACTATAATCGGAGAATACAGTGAGCGAATGGGACTAGAGATTAATACCAAAAAGACCAAATTCATGATCATCTCCAGAAACTTGGATGCATTTGAAAACTCCACCATAACACTGAATAGTAAATCCATAGAAAGAGTAAGTAAATTTAAATACCTGGGATCGTGGCTTTTTGAAGACTGGGCATCGGACAGGGAAGTAAAATGTCGCATTGAGCAAGCTCGACAAGCTTTCGTAAAATTCAAGAAGGTACTAACTTGTTCAGTGTTCGATCTTCAACTGAGACTAAGGTTTACTAAGTGCTACGTATGGTCAGTGCTGCTATATGGCGTAGAGGGCTGGACACTCAAAACGAGGGATATAAACAGATTAGAAGCTTTCGAAATGTGGCTTTATCGCCGTATCCATGGACAGCGAAAATCACAAATATAGATGTCCTTAAAAGAATAAACCAAGAACGCCACCTTTTCGAAACCAACAAGAAGGAAGAAGAAAACGACGTATCTAGGTCACATCATGCAAAATGAAAAATACCAGTTCCTCCAACTTATAATCGAGGGTAAAATTGAAGGCAAGAGAGGAATGGGACGCAAGAAAATGTCCTGGCTCCGAAACATAAGGCAATGGACAGGGATTAACGGCATACAATCTCTGATACATATTGCAAGAAATAGAGAATTAATGGAAAATGTGATCGCTAACATCCATTAGTGGATTAGCATCTGAAGAAGAAGAAGCTTTAAACCGATATTATATATATATATATATATATATATATATATATATATATATATATATATATATATATATATATATATATATATATATATATATATATATATATATATATATACATACATTATATATCGAGATATAAATAAACATAAACTAAAACGATTAACAACAAAATATATTTTTTATACCACTTATCCTATTCTGTTCTCAAACAATTCCTAAAATTTACCGCCTGAGTGACGTCACGCTATCTCTGACTTGAACATATATTGACAACGACAACTGACATTTGTCTTCCTTATTTCCTCCATCTTGAGCGTGGTGGCGTTGAGCGTTAATAAATCCTCGCATTTGCAAAACAAGATGGATGTTACAGCGTTAAAATTACTTTTAATTTCTTCAGAATTAGTTTACAATTCCTAATAAGATTTATAATTCTGCTTTACGAACAGTGTGTGTTGAGTAACTATGTGAAACAAAAAGTGTAGTGCTCATAATATATAAAATCGGACCTAGATCGATAAACAAACAAGCGTAATTGATTATTAAAAAGTTCGCCCTACAACGGGAACGTGGTTTTGTGTAATTTTCATATTCTAGGTATTAGATGTTAATTGTTACATTTGTGTAAACCAATAAACATTAAATATATCAATGTAGCCCATTCAGGGCTTTTAATCTTGCATGTTAGCATTTTGGCGGATAAACGAACCTGTCATATCAAAATTGTTATTCTTTATATAAATAAAGGCTTCATCATCTACGTTTTTCTTTATTTATGTTGACTTACTCATTAAATCTATTGCAAAAATAAAAGGGCATAATCAGATTTTTCAAAACAAGTTATATTTATTAACATGTTTCACCCTTTGTTAAAGCCTTTTAGTACTAAGATTAGTATTTTAGATCCCTATTTGTCCTTTTCCCTTTATATTTCGTAAGAAATTTTATTTCACCCATATCCATTTCTTCCTTCCTCTTATCTACTTTTTTGTATTAGTCTCAAACTTCATATAGTGCCTTAGTCATTTGTTTCTCTTTGATAATGCAATTGGTTTATGATTTATTTTTCATATTCTATAGTTTACTTGCATTTCATCTTGATGGTTTGTATTTTGAATTGATGTCTTTTTCCTGATTCTGATATCATTTTTCATAGTTTACCTGCATTTTATCTTCATGGTTTGAATTGATCTCTTGGTTGAATTTTAATGTGTGAATTTTTGGATCCATGTTCTGTGTGAAAAACCTGCCCTTGCCCTTTCTCTCTTGTGTTTATATTTTAAAAGAACATGATATGGCAGGTTAAGTGCCATTGTAGAAACAATCTTCAAATAAATCTGTTTTAGATTATCATTATGGCAAACAGTGTAGTTAAAGTAACAGATCTAAGGGATGAAGAAATAAATGACAGCTTAATGTTACTTGTTGGTGTGGATGGTACTGTCACACCTGATCAAGAGACAGTTGAAACATATTTAAGTGAGTAAATTTGATCATAATAACTAAAAGGATTTTAAACACTCATAGATATATTAGGTACAAAAGTTTAGGAAATTTTAAAATGGTGTTAACAATAAAGTAATAAGTAAATCAAATAAATATCTAAATTTGACATTTTTTAATGTTAATCACTGAATCATTAAATGTGACATTTTTATTAGTATTTTAATTATATGAACTTAATTAAATCAAATTATGGTTTTGTAAATCTTAATCAAATTGTATATGAAGTAAATAAATAAGAAGTCTATATAATTACAGTATATTTTTTGTTTTCCAGTAATTTGCTACAACATATCAATGCTAGTGAATTGTTTGTAACTTTCAAAATTATTAATTGGAAAAGGAAAGTGTATTAAAAATAGGAATGGGAAAATAGCAAAAAACAAAATGATACAATATATAATCATTGTTGAAAATGATAAAACTAAAAAGAGGTTATACTGTCAATAAATTTTGCCATGTTTTGTTACTTTCAATATGTTATAGATTTAATAATCCATTAGCCAAGAAAAGACTTACCATTTTTTGTTTGCATATTTGAGGTTAATTTTTCACTAGAAAGGAGCATGTACTAAACATTGAGTTCTCTAAATGATTGTTAATTAAAAAAATAAAATGTAAACACAATTTGGAAACCTATTTATTAATGTTATTAGTTGAAAATCTCCTAATCTTTTGTTTGATTTCAGGATAATAATTGATATCTGAATAATCTCATTTATCTTACACATCCAGTTTACTTTAGCGTAATGCACAATACACTTTTGTTTTAACTTGTTAAATACTTTTTGACTTTCTGGCAAAACATTTGTCTTTAATTTTATTCAAGAGTTTAAGTTATTTTCGACACATCTAAAGTGACCTTAACTGATGTAAAGGCATTTGAGTAGTTTAAATTTTATAGAGCATGACACTAAAGCTTAATATTATGGTAATTTATAATTGAACAGTTATTTGAAGTTAGAAAATTAATAAACTAAATCAAGAAATTGAAAATAAAGGCTCTATATGATCAAAACTAATTAGCAAAATTAACCTCTTAGGCGCTGGTTTCTCTGAACAGATGTAAGCCGCCACTGTCAATGTTTGGATGTTGAGGCTAATGTTTAGACATCATTGGTAATGGTCGAGTGGTTTCTCTAGAATTAGTCAGTTTGCTGGTAGATATCAATAGGTATGGATGTCGATTATTAGGTTAGATTAAAAATACAAAGGACTTTATAAATATTGAAAACAATATTGATGAAACTGTTTCTTGAAGAAGAGAAAGATGATAAACTAATAACTACAACTTTAAAGAAAAGAGAGAATGAAGGGACATTTAGTAACCTAATTCATATGCATCTTAAATATGATAATTTAAAATTCATACAATATTTTCGTCTATCCCAAAAACAGTTGGATGGTGTTGAATGGCTTCGCACCAATTCAATTAACAATTCATCTTGCTATTTTTTTATTTTGCTTTCGTCTGTCACAACATCCACCCGCTGCAATGCTTCGAAACCATATCAACCTACACACACACACCGGGTGGAAGCCAACCGTCGACGCTAGCAGTGACCGCTGGCATCTCTGGGAAACCATGTGTATACTCTTTTAGGCGTAGCATTCAAACGTTGATATCCGTTGTTCGTCGCTGCTAACGTGTGTTCAGAGAAACCAGTGCCTTACAAACTTTATAGATGATCTAGTCAAGCTCTTTTATTACCTATTGAATGAGTCTTGCTGACATGTTTTTATTTAATTTATACAAATCAAACTAATTTAAGACAAGCAGAGAACAGATTAGTATGGGGTATTGATGCCCTCTAGTACAGTAGCAATATTTATTATTAATTAGAGATTAATATTAATGATTACTGTAATATAGTAATATATAAGCATAATAATTCTTGTTACTAGCTTATAAATATAGTAGTACCTCTGTAAGTTGAATCTCAATGAATTGAAAAACTCAAAACATTTTTTTCCTTTTCCTTCGAGCCCCAAAACCTCTATTACTTGAAATCTCCACCCTCTATTAGTAGTAATCAGTGAGTCCTTGCAAGCCATTTTGGTAGATATTTTCCCTCTATAACTCAAAAAATTAAATTGGACCTCAGTATTTCGAACATAGCAATGTTTTATTTTATAAATCAATTATTTGAAAGTTATTAAATACCTCTATAGTTTAAAGAAAAATAAGTTAACAACTTTAATAACATGTCCACAATATAAGGATACCATTGACATCTTGATTATTTTTATTACTTCTATAGCTCGCAAAAATAAGTTTCTAAGAATTTGCCGAAAATATAAATATGACATTGTCTCTTAGAAAACATTTTTGGAGTATACAATATATATATATATATATATATATATATATATATATATATATATATATATATATATATATTATTACCACCTAAAGAACTGAATGACTCTCGTTAACATGTGCTTTCATGCTTGGTGTCAGATATTTAATTTTATTATTTTTGATTTTATTTAAACTTGAAGCAAGATGTTTGTTGTCGATTGAAACATTGTCAGAAGTAGTTTGATTCTACCCCGATGGGCGCCGGCAGCAGTGTGCAATTACTGTGTGTGGATACTAGTATTTGTACATACTACAATAATTTGGTCACCAATGAGTACTATGTCAACAATAATAAAAAATTAATCAGATATCAGGAAAAAAATTCAAAGCAGTCAAAATTTGTCCTTTAAAAGAAGAAAAAATTGCAGAAGCTCAGGGGTTTGAGGAGTGCTTACTTAAATGGTTGGAGCCAAAATATCAGTATTAGTGGAACACTGTTACAAGAAAAAGCCGAAATATACGTTAAATAATTGGTAGTGACTAATATGAGTATTTTTTAGTAATTGATGCTTAGAAAAGTTCAAAAGAAGACATGAACTTGTTTTTAAAAAAGTTTGTGGAGAAAGAGTAAGTGTTAACATTGAAACCTGTAACAAATGGAAAAATGAATTGCAAGATTTGTTATATGCTTACGAACCTAATAATATCTTTAATACTGACAAAACGGGACTGTTTTTTAAATGTCTTCCTTATAAAACTCTAACTTTTAAAAAGTATAAATATGATGGTGGGAAACATAGCAAGGAACATTTGACTATTCTGCTAGTAGTAAACATGTCAGGCACAGTCACATTGAAATATGAAGTAAATACAAAAGCATGTAGAGTCTCCCAGCCTATCTTTTACTGCATTACCAAATCATTGTGTTACCATATATGGTACTCAGTCCAGAAGGTAAATTAAAATGTTGAGAGTTCACTAAACTACATGAATTGTGCATCTTGCAGTCACTTGGCTTGTATATTTTACATGGAGAATGTCATCAAGCAAAAAGACAAAAGAGGGAATCTAATCCTTATGAAAAAGAGACCAAAAAAGTGGCCTCTGATGGCAGACATATCCGGAAATGCGAATGCGAAAAATTTAAATTTTCCAACACTTATTAACAGCAGCTATATAATATTTTTCAGAATGTGTCTTAGACGAGAAAGTTTTAATTAATTAATAACGATAATAGTCTAAAATGTGACACAATTGTTAAAAAAACTTCAATATAAATAAGATTTCATGTGACATTTGGGACAATTAATAACATAACCCAACTAAATTTGATGTCAAACAAGGAGAGAGACTCTGTTTCCTTGTTTAATGTGGACTCTAAAGATCGCACTTCCTGTCTAACAATATTTTTGCCCCCACTACCTTTACATTCCTTCTTTTGTCTTTTTGCTTGATGACATTAATAGAAGGGATTAAACAATTTTTATTGTTTTATTTGCTACTTTGGAATAAAGTGACAAGGCATTTACAACGACAACATTTAGTAAAAGGTCAACTCAAAGGTAACTTTTCGATACCATTTCATTGACCTTGAAAATGAATTATAAGAATTCATTTGATCCAATAGTCCATGAAGGATTTTCCTGCATTATACTCTTGTGATTTATATTTAATTTTATATTATTATATAACATGTGGTTTAATTTGGTCTCCTCTTCTTTGTGTTGGAGTATTTTGACTCCTGAGGAAAAAGCCACTTGTGTTGCCATGAATGCCAACATGGGTACTCAGGTTAAAAATGCTATGAAATACTTAAAAATATCTTAATTAACCCCCTAAAGGTACTTACAAAAGCCATAAATATTAAATAAAAATTGTCATGCCCTCGTGGGTCTACATGATTGAGCACAGCATAAATTACAAGTTAACAGTGTACCACATTTGGTACTCATGGCAGCGAACCTGTTAAAATCCAATTTATGCCCGCCAATAACACATCAAAATTAGAACCTATGGATCAAGCTATCATTAAAAACTTCGAATAATGAATAATTATATCAAAATTTATCAGGAACATGTTGGATAATATGGAAGAAAAAAATGAATTACTATAAATGTATTGCAAGCCATGAGAATGGCTGATAAAGCTTGGACAAATGTAAATATGACTACAATAACAAACTTGTATGTACACTATGGTTTTTCATCGTTGGCTTTGTCAGTAGATGAAGCTGAAACTGAATATGTTTCTATTTTACCTTCTGTAGAATGGAATAAAGTGTTGTCTTCTTCTTTGATGCTGACTCTTCTAGGTTACTTGACAAGTGTTAACATGGCAAGTTTACATCCTTGCCCTTCTTCCCATCTTTTTATGGTTTGCGTATGGGAGTGACATTTGACAATTTCCGAGATTGTTGTAGTTGACCAACCAAAAAGATCTCCAGGTCCTAAGAGTATTATGTGTCCATCCCCCACTTTATTCTTAGGTTCAGTGATCTGGAGTATATCCCATATCCTGAGCCTTCTTTCATTTTGGAGCCATCAGTGGATATACAATAGGAATTTGCCACGTTTGTCTCCCTATACTCTCTTGTTTCGATTTTGTGGGGTTTGTTAAAGACAAACTTTGCTTCAATTGAATCGCAGCCTGCCTGTAACAGTGGTAGCGCATCCAGCTCTTCCCGCTAGAAACGAGTTCTCAATTGCCCCATTCCTACATCAAGGTTTGCACCAGCTTAGCGCAGTCGCATCATTGTCACTAGCGCCACCTCTTTGACATATATCTAGAGACGTGATGCCAATAATCAACTCTATTGCAGCAGTTGGTGTTGTTTTCATGGCACCTGTTATATTTATGCAAGCCATCCGCTGAATATGGTTTAGTTTGTTTATCGCTGGCACTTTTGGTACCCAAGCAATAGCTTCATAAGTTAGCATTGGCCTAATGACAGCAGTGCTGTCAAGGGTAATACCAAAGTACTTCACCTCGTCAGAAAAATTTAGACTGTGGTTTAGAATCCTTGGTGGTATTAAGCCCGTGATTCTTATTTTCCTCGTAAAGAGAACCATCTCTGTTTTCTTAGGATTTATAGATAGTGAGTGTTCATTGCACCATGTTTCAATTAGTCGGAGAGAAACTTGTAATCTCTCACATAGTGTGTTCTCAAACTTACCGCTTTGCAGGACAGCAATATCGTCTACATAGGCTATTGTGTAGAAACCATTGCTGCTGAGTTGGTCAACCAGGGTATCTATTCTTTGTTTCACGTTAAGAAAATAACATTACGCTTATGGAGATCAGTGTTGCCAAAACTCTCAGACACTCGCTTTTGCACGGATGTCCAAGATATTCCCTTTGCTTAATTTTTGAATTTTCATTTTCAATTAATATTTAACTGTAAAGTCAGAATAACTACTAAATAAAAGCCTTATTATCATTATGTAGTCAGAGGCGACATAAAATAGCTGACATACGCACATCGTATTATTTTAAGTTGCAATTAGTAATTAGATATACGCATTCCAAGCGGTCAATATTTTCTACTGATTTCTATGATTCATGGCATATCGTATTCTCACCGAAAAACAAATAAACTGTCGTTACTATAATTAAAATAAGATAAAATAAAATTATCTTTTGTAAATACTATTTATCTAATTAAAATCATTTTCCCTACTTTTCATCTCTTGTTTCGAATGGGCACTTTTGGTCAATTACGTTAAAAAACATTAATTTAATTCATGTTTGTGGAAACGAAAATACAAATTATACAACCCTAAATTGTGCTTGTGTGTGTCGTGGCAACGCCGCGTTGCTATCGTCCATAAGAAATACATGGCCCTATCTTCGCAATGTTATTTTCTAAAAGTGGAACGTAGTATAGAACTATGTTCCAGAGGAGTGGTGATAGTACACTTTCCTGTGGACACCCCCTTGTAACCATGCCTCTGACAGAAACATCTTCTACATTTATGCTTATTGCTCTATTGGAGAGCATACTGAATATCCATTCGCTTATGTCCAGGGGAACATTCCTGACGTTTAGCTGTTGGGTGATGGTTGGGAATGTGCTTTTATCAAACGCTCCCTCAATGTCTATGAATATGCCTAGGGTGGATTCTTTATTATCCAGCGATCTTTCAATTCTTCCCACTACATGATGCAGTGCAGAATCGGTAGATCTTCCCGAAGTATATGCATGCTGATTTGGGTGAAGTGGGTTATGGACTAGAACTTCATCTCTTATGTACCTCTCGCATAGTCGTTCCATTGTTTTCAACAGAAAAGATGTTAGGCTAATTGGTCGGAAAGCCTTTTGTAGGTTGTAGTCCATCCTACCTGGTTTTGGTATGAAGACCACACATACCTCTCTCCACTTCCTAGGAATATATCTCAGAGCCAAAGAAGCTCTGAATATTTCCATGATTTGCGGCAGAAGGATATTCAGTCCCCACCGTAGTAGGGCTGGATATATGTCGTCAGGCCCTGGTGATTTGAAAGGGGTGAAGCACAATATGGCCCATTTTACCTTTTCCTCATTAATCATTGTTCTGGCGAGATGCCAGTAGTTTATTGAGGGTATGATTTCTTCTTCCATCCAACAAAAGTGTTTATTACTTTTTGTGTATAATGAAACGTTCTCTCAGAAACATTGCTTGAAGTGACCATCGATTTTGAATCAGTTATGTGCGCGAACTCAATGTTCAATAAAACTTTTATGAGCTTGAAGGTAAAAATTCGATATCTTTTGATTCAATTGTCCTATCTACAAAAATCAAGATGCATTTTAAAGGTAAAGAGTAAGGTAATGAATAGTGGTTATAATTGCTTAAAAAATAAGATTCACTTAAGGTAAGAGACTGAATTTAAAATTTAAATAATTAGTGAGAATTGGTTGGCAACACATATTCTATCACATTATTAAGACTGATAATTCCCTGTATCAATCACTATTATTTATCTATTGCTGTTTTCATTTCCTGTTTTTAGGTTTTGTGACTAGAGAATTTAGGTAAAAAAGAGACAAAAATTAATTTTTGAATAATGGCATATATAAACATTTAGAGAATGAACCTTACACTTAAGTTTTAAAAGTTTTGTAGAGAAAATAATTACTGTAATAATTGCTACTTGTAGCTGTAAAACATCAGTGATTTTACTGATCTAGTTGCATTTAGGGTGCCTATTCACAAAGATTATTATGATTAATCCACCGAATTGTTTAATTAAATATGGATCAAAATGTCACTTATAATAAATTAACTCTTTTACAATGTTCTTTTAGAGTTTAAAGATATTTAACCATTTGTTCTACAGATAAGTTTAACAAAAATAACTAGTAAACAAAAAAATTTAAAAAGAGGGATTTTAATTAAGGATGATTAAATATGACACAATATGAATAGGAAATAATTCTGCTGTTACAGAAAATTTTGTTTCCTATTTTTTGCACAATTTTTTGTTAGTACTTTCCTGAGAAATCATAAACAATTATGTAAATATTTTTTTAGGGCAAAAGAATGGATCTACTGACTTACAGATTGTAAAATTGAAAAGTTCAGAAAAGCAAGGTATTGATATTACCGTTGACAATGTTACTTATGTACCTGATGCAGTAAATGAAGGTAGGTATTTATAATTCAGAATTATTATTATTTCATAATCACTGAAAAAGATCATGTTCCATATTTATCTGATTATATCTTTTTTCAATGTGGTGGTCATGCTTATTGCAATGTTAAATAATTGCTTATATTGATTTTTCCATGTAATGTAATTACATTCTTTACATTACTTCTGTGTAATTCATAAACCTACTCATACTGACACGACTATACACATTTCATCATCCCATCCTACACAACACAAACTGGTAGCCTATCATAGTATATTACATAGATTAACAGAAATTCCGATGTCAAAATACAACTTTGAGACAGAATTAAATATTAAGCAAATAGCAGTAAACAATGGGTACAAAGAACAAACAATTAATAAAATTTTAAATCAAAAACTACACAAGAAAGCCCTCAAATAAGTATTTCCAGCAGCAGAGAAAAAACCCAATACCTTCTGCTTGATTACATATACAGGCAAAATATCGACAAAAATAGCCAAACACATAAAAAATAAAGGAATAACACCAGCTTTTAGAACAAACAACAACTTAAGCAAATATATTAAAAAAACAAGAGCAAAAATGAAAAGCACTTACATCAGTCAAACTGGTAGAACTTTTAACAAACATATAGCAGAACATAAAAGGGCTTTTTTACATATGTACTTCACCTTCTAGATCATAATCATTCTTTTAATGGCGAATTTCAAATTCTTCACATCCAAAATAAAGGCCTTAAGCTGTATTTATTAGAATCTATGGAAATTAACAAATTAAAAACACAGATATAATTCTAAATGACCAACTTGAGACAAACAGTTCTTCCCTCCTCAGTCAATACAGTTAAAGACTATAAAGTGTAAACACATACCAAAAATAGATCACTTGAGAAAGGCACTCTGCCGAAACATCTGTAGTAATAAGATTTTATAATAAATTTTGTGAAAGTTTTGAAAACAAAATTTTCAGTGATTTATTGTTATAAACATAAACTTTGGATATAAATTTTTCAGAATTTGCATAAAAACCTTTTTTGAGACTGATTTCTGGAGTGGAAATTGAAACATTAAACATTATTTATTTAAAAATGTGATTATCATCACAATAAAAACCAATAATTGTGGCTTAATCACATAAAAAACATAATATTTAATTTTACATTATATCTCTCCATAGTATCATTAATAGAGTTTAGGCCCCTTTGCATGAGAAACATTCTTATAAAACATTGTATTTACCATGTTTAACTGTTTGTGTAATGTATTTCTGATTTAATGTAAATCAATCATAAATACATACATTACATAAATATAAAATAAAACTGCATCAAATGCATACAATTTTATAGATTAGTATTTACAAATGGAAATTTTTAATGAATATAGACTTCCATTCTTCTTCCTTTTTCAAAGAAAGAAATCTGCTGTAGTAAGTTTGTTTGAGCTATTGATAGTGTGGGGAAGGAATTTTTTGTGATATATGTTTCTGCCAATGAATGTGTCAAAATATTCCCGAGCTGGCCAAATGGACTATAACAATAATTTCAGCAATAATTCTAGGTACTGACTTCCAATGGTCATTTTGCAAAATTCTTTTAATAAATCTAACAGTCCATATTGTTGTTTTTCTTGTATTTCCTGACTTTGGTAGGTTTTCCAAATGTGTCTTTTCCTTTTCATTGTAGGATGAAAATATTTTAGACACACTATAACTAGGTAACTCCAATTGACTTGAAATTTCAGTTGTTTTTACTTTCCATGAATGCATTCAAAATTAGAATACTATTTGCTATGCTTAATTTAGAATAGAAATGTTGAAAATATAAAATAAATTTCACAATAACAATTTTTTCTTAATTTTCACTGCAAACTTTTTTTTTGGAAAAATAATTAAAATGTTACTTTGCATTTGACCTTTGCCTATTGACTTAATTTGGTCGGTTCCAACATCAAAATATTACAAGTATATAGTGATGCATGCATGATATTTGACAAATTTTTGACTCAACACTTAGTAAAGGAGGTTCATTTGTATTAGAGCCCTTTTTGAATCTATTGTTATATTTCATTTTTATTAGTCATAAACTCAGTTATAATAAATATGGTAATACTATCACAACACACAAATTAACTTTTTGATGAAACTTAATTTTTTTCTGTTGTAGAAATTATAAAGATGGACATGGACGAAATTGCAAGGAATGTCTATAACTTTAGATTGGATCATGACTATACACCACTAACATCGCCAAAAAGCAAACCTACTTCCATAGATGATGTTGACGAACTGGCCAGAACACTCAGTATACTTGATGGACCAGCTACAGGACAGATTTTGTCTGCAGTTGATCTGTCAGAACCACCTCCTTTGATACTTGCATCTACCCATAAACCAAAACCATCATCAAAAGTAAAACTAATTCAATCTATAACAATTTCACCTCCAAGCAATATGATCAATAACCGGAAACCACCTGTATTAACACCTGAAGTTCCACTTGTTATGGTTCAAAAAGAGATAAAGTCACCAACTATTGAAGAAAAACTAAAAGAGCTGATTAAACCACCTAAGGAAGAAAAAATTGAACCAGAAAAAAATGAATTTGAGCCACTTGCTATCCGAGAGACTCCTAAAGCTAAAATGAAAATAGTAAAGCAAGTCAGAAAATTAAAACCCAAATTGACAAAACTCAAACTTAAAGAAAGCCCTAAAGAAGAAAGTTCAGATGAAGATAGTTTTGTTGATCAACAACTGGATGAAATAACAAGTGAAGATAATGATTCTGATTTTGATATAGAAGAAGAAATAAAAACGAAATTAGCTGTTAAAAGAATCAATAAAAGAACAAAACAGGTAGAACATAGTAAACCAATTAAAACTATTAAGCATAAAACAAGAGCTAAAGAAAAGAAAGAAGAAATTAAAAAAGAAATTTCTCAAGAAAAGGAAGAAGAAAAAGTTAAAGAGAAGAAAGAAGAGTCTAAATTAGATATCAAAGAAGTGGAAAAAGAAGCAGAAGTTAAACACCCTGAAAAGAAACCAGTGAAAAAAGAGAAAAAAATACCAAAACCAATTCCTGATGATTTTGCTCTTTTCTCTACTCCTGATATTATCAGACGGGTAGGAGGCAAGGAGCCAACTACACCTTCAACTCCTATAACTCCAGAAGTTTCTCCCATCAAACCAGCAAAAATTTTACCTACAGAACAAAGGAAATCATTAGAAAATTCCCCACACGCCGTCAAAACCAGACATAGTATAGATTCCAAAGAAAAGGAAAAAGATAAGGAGAAGGTAAATAATTTTTTTTTAAGTTATACCTGTATTTTTGCATAGTTTCACATAACACTACTGTTTAAAAGTTGAATGGTATCGTCAGTAAAAAATTTAACAAATAAAAAAGAACATCAATGCTTAATGCGAAGAAAAACATTGAATCTTAAAAAAATTTAATTCAGCATCTTAAACACGCTACTTTGTTCTAAATGACATATCTGGACATTTTCTAGTTTTTGTTATATAATTGTCGGTATATAATGTTATTTTGTAATTTATCCATAGAATTATTTAATGTGACTTTATTGCTTTATAAGGTTTTTGGTTAAAAATTAGTTTTATCTCTTAGGTCAAAAAGAATGGTTGGTATAGATCTGCCAAAGAAATCATGCATAACTTTTAAAGAGGAACATCCTGTCAATCTTTTTATTTTTAAAATTGTATTTATTCAAATTTAGACAGCCTTTGCCCTATGTTATGTTGTCATTTTAGTCAGGTTATGTTATCATACTCCCGCCAAACAATACCTTGTACATACCAGTTAGTTGAATAGTTATAACTGATTTTTTTATTATTCGTATATGAATAAATATATATGAATAAATTATTGGTTTCAAAAATGAAACCAAATGTTATTTAGTGTTTAATTACAACATAGTATATTCAACTAAATAATATTCTCCCCAATTTTTTGATTTTTCAATGAGTCTTCTGTACTAAGGTCTTGATTTTGGTTCACCCACAGTCCCTTTGCTAAATGATGTTTTATGGAACTGCAGAAGTTCATTCTGACCTCCGATAGGAGGCTCGTCAAGTGCTTGTTTCAGTTTGTTAATGATCAAATCTGCTTGAGCCCGATCTAGTTGAGTATCCGGATGGTGTCTGTGTGCTAACAGCATTCTGAATACTCTTGTCACGGTGCTTTATGACCTAGTCTGCTCGTTAGAGCCCCTTGGTTTCTTAGTAACTCTCTTTGGAGGGGGTGATGGTATTCTCCCGAAGTCTCTTTTTATCCTCGGGTGTTGCCGATTCGGTTTTCTTAGGATTTGCTATGGTCCATGTCCCAGCAGCCATTTTTGTCTTTTCCTCACCTTCCTTGGTTGAGTTCGAGAGAGGCGTTTTTGAGTCTTATTTATTTTTTTAAATTTAAAAATCCGAAATATACTTTATAATTTCGAATTCTAGCATATAATATTAACGAGATCAGGATTTTTTTTTATTGAAACATCTTAGAATATTTTGGACTTTGACTCCCAAGGATTGATTTTTAATTAATTTTATTTATAGTTCATAAGAAAAGGGTTTTAATTATATTATTTGTAAATTGGTACATATTTGAATCACCATATTTTTTCTAAAAAATAGTTCAGCTATTAAAAGTTAAAATAACATTTTATTTTCTTAAAAAAAATGATGCATGAGTAGGATTTAATATCTAATTTTATAAAATGCAATGCTAAGTCTACGACCACGCCGCATCTAAATAGAAAAATATCTAAAGTTGCATTTTTGTTGCCTCGCTCTTTCACATTTTAGAAGCAGTAATAGCGCTGACATGACCGCTCCCTAGTGATATAACATGGAACTAAAATCTTGTTCAACTTGTATAACATATTGTGTAGAACTTCTGCCGAGACTAAAAAATGACAGTGAAATATCCTTGTATATGCGTCTATATTCTTTGTTACAACGTTCACATCAATTACATCAATACCACGTTTGCCAACTTGATTTTGACTAACACAGGATTTATTATTAACATTTATATTATGTTAATCTTTGAAAACTCCAAATGTAATCAAATTCTGAAAACTGTTTATTTGATAAAAAAAAGGTAACATTAGTCCACATCTAAGGTCCTACAATTTAAAACAATAAAATCTGGCAGAAGAGAAATGGGAAACAAACTTTGTTAAACACAAGTTTTCTGTATATATGGTCACTTTGTGATCATACCGTCTCAACTATTTAGAGAACAACAACGTTTTAATATAGTTTTTGAAGATGCCTCAGATTAGAAACATTAGATTTGACCTGTTTACTTTACATTACAAATCTCAAAAATAATATAAACTAGATGGATCTATAACAGAGCATTGTGTAGCATCTGCATTTGTAACAAATGATGAAGTAAAGAAATATAAACTAGCGGAAACACTATTTTAACAGGAATATGTCATATTACAAATGCCATATGTCACGTTACAAAATGTCGTGAAACTAATTTCTTAATAATTATTACTGACTCACTCAGTTCTCTAGAAATCATCTCAAAAATCTATTCTTCCTATCATTGGACAAGAATTGCATAACCTAAACTACAGAAACATTGCTTTCCTGTGGGTGCCATCTCATGTTGGAATCACGGGAAACGATCTGGCGGATAAATATGCACGAGAAGCCTAAGCGTGCGTTCATAACGAGGTGCCGACCCTCGTTCGGACCATGGGATGGTATCATCTTATCGATTTTCGGTAAAATAAATGCATTATTTTAAATGCGAGCGTTCACCGTCAGTGCTATGTTCTAGGCGAGGATACGATGCCATGGTCTCCATTATGAATGCACCCTTAGAGGACACAACTATTGAGTTATATCCAAAAACTCCAGCGATAGATCTCAAATCATATTTCCACAGCAAAATAGTCAACATATATGGAAAACAGATGGTACAAAAAACAGGCAAAATTACTTGAGATAAAACCAATATTTCAACCATGGTCTGATAGTTTCACCAATCGTTTTTCTCAGGTTATCATCACACGGCTGCGGCTTGGATATTATTACGTTAATAATAACCAATACCAGTTAATATTACGATTACAGTTTTTATACTTCTTTTTTATTTCATATATTGGATTTTGAAAACTGGTTATATATTTTATAAACGTGATTTTCCAATTTTTAGAAATCTACATGTGGTCCAACAATATCTACAGTAAATAAATATTTCAACTGTAGCAATTAGAAATAAAAGGGTTTTCATAAGATATGATCTAAAAACTGAACAAAACATACCTCAGGGCTCCATCATCTTAATCATTTTGTTTATTCAATGTTAACTATGGTTTTCAGAATTAATTAATGAGTTTGTTTTTACTACTGTTAAGGATATTTATATAATCAAGATCGCATAGCTTTGTGTCTCATAACGGATATTATTCATACAAAATGACAGACTATAATAAGTATAAAAAAACTAGATGCAGGTTACACAAATTATCAAACTAAATTGAAAACAAAATACCTTCAAAAATTAACACAAAATTCTAACAAATAACCGATGTAAAATAAATTAAATAAATAGAAAACTTTCGAGCTTAGTAAAAAAAAACAATGTATTTAAAATATTTATTTTAAATGTTATGAATGCCTATTATGATTTGTTGAATGTTAATGTTAGAATGTGAATTTCTCAAATTTCTCTGTTACACTGGTTTAGTGCCTGTTTTCACATATTTATAACAGCACTATCAGAATGTCTATCTCTACCAATATACTTATTGTAATATGACTTGCAGTTTGCCCAAATTAATTCAATAGCGTTGAATTCACAATGATAAGGAGGTAGTCTCAGCACTTCATGGCCGTATTTTCATAGTAGCTAGCTCATCAATTATATACACATTCACTTGTCTGTTTATTTTCACAATTTGTAATAATTCAGGTTTTCTGAGTTTTGCCTCATACTTGATGTTGTTTGTTGTCGACCAGTTAATAATTTACATTCTAGTTGAAATAGTGGAAGGTTGCTTTTCTAACCATCACAGTTAATAATGGCTCTAAATTTTAGAAATGTTTGTGTACTTATCCATTTAATGAGAATTTAATTGTTCATTTCCCATGATATTCGCTACTTTAGATTTTGAGCAAAATAATAAACATAATAAATTCAGTATTAAATATTTTTGAAGAACCAGCGTAAACAATTATAAAGCGTTTACCATCATCCCTGTATGGTTTACATATACTTTTAATACTGTTTTCTTACCAGGAAATCGTTTAATTTCCCTTTGAATAAATCCACTTTTCGTTCGAAAACAATGTCTGGGATACACATCATTAAGATTTTCCATATATTTGCGAAGGAATTTGGCTCTTAAAGTAGCAATATTTTTGCACTCAATTAATGCTCTTCAATTATTGTTCGGAAACACCATGTTTTATTGCAAATTCGGATTCTATGTGAAAAAGTAAATCAAGTTTTATCTGAGTATTTTTTCCATTCGCGATAGATGGCGCTGTAGTAGCAGAAAAATAGTAAATAGAGAAATACAGATCATAAGTCTGCAAACTAATTTGTAAGGTACTGAATACAGTTTTTTACGTAGCATCTGAATTCCAATATAAATAGGGGTTTCTATTTAGGATTTAAAAAATACACCCCTCCCCACCCCCAGGTGGTAGTGGCGAGAATTAATTTTTGCATAAGAAATCCACATCTGTAATAAAAAATTGGAGGATATCTTATTTAAAATTCCCAGACGGTGGAAGTAGGTTCTTCTTGGTGTTATTTTATAGATTTTTGAAAAATATTGGAACAGGTTTTTCGATCCAATGTAAATGACACGAAATATTCCACTCTCCCGCTTCTTTTGGCACACGCAAAGCTCAGTAGATCCGCTATAATACTACATAGCTATGAAAGATAATTACAAAAATTGTAGGTAACTTTAAGAAGTTGTAGGTAACGTTAGAATATCATGGGATGTTCGATGACATAGTGGCAGACCAAACTTGTGTTTTTTATATTTTATTTTCTATTCGAAATTGTCTCCCCTTTTTTATCACAACAGTATAAGGTTTTATGTTATATAGAGTATTCACAAAGTTTGTCCAATATCAAATCTTCAAAATTCATATCCGAAATTGAACAGTATAATTTTATCACCCAGTAGACCGAATGAATTTATTTGTTATTAAATACACACATGTAGTTAATTATGTTACATACACATTTGGTCAATTATCAATAATATAATTCGAACATCAGTCAAAAGTGCTGACAAAAGTTAAACAATTTACATAAATTAGATACACATATCACGCGAGGTCAGCGAATATATTGACCCAATTAAAACTTATATAAAACTAAGATCTCTTACCTAGAGAAGCATTCAATCAATATTCACTCAACAAACTTGATAGTCAACACCCATGGTATACGTCTCATCAATAAACTCAGCTACTATTATTTGGTGTTTCCATTACAACTGAACGAACATCTTCACTGAGCCAACGAAGGGATCTGTTCAAAGTTATAACCAATTTTCTATGAAAATCGTAACATGTTTAACTCCTTGTACAATTAAAAAGAAATACAAAAAGAATGATCTGTTACTGCCACATTTTTTTATTAATTATCAAAAGTTTAAAAAACGATTGATATTGTTAATTTATATCGAATAAAGACCTGTTATACGCGTCTTGATTCCAATTCAATATCTGCATAGTGGTCCGAGTAATTTACATTTAATTTATTGTGATGGCTATGCAACATTGGCATTTGCGGAATACAGCATTTGAATATATTTGTCATTTTACAGGTTAAGGAAAAACACCAAGAGCATAAGATCAAGGATTCTAAGGAAAGAAGGCCCAGTATCCCAGAAATAAAATCAAAGCGTTTAAGTGTAGATGAAAAATCAAAACCTAAAGATGTTAAACACGATAGAAGAGCATCAGATGCTAAAAAACATGAAAAATCAAACATAAAGCAAGATGGTACAGCATTGAATTTGGACATGGCAAGTGTTGAAGACATTAGGTCTATTATATTGAATGAAGATACCAAATCTTTTACTATGGATACAACCATAAACACTCCAGTTGGTCAAAATTTAGAATCCAACATGAATCTAGATACGACAGGCTTGGATTTAGATCCGGCCATATTGGACAATTTGAACAATGATGAGATTTCTGAGGATATTCTGTACCAAGTAGCTCAGTCCCTGGTTTCTAATCCAGAATTGCAGAATGCCATTGACAAAGGCATAAATGAAGGAGTTTTGGATCCGATGGCTGTGGATAATGTAGTTAGCTCTCAAAATGTGTCTCAGCAAGTAAGTTTTTTAGTACAATATTAAATGTATAATCTGCTCTATATAAGTCCAAATAGTAAATAGTTTTGTAACACCATTACATCCTTTAGTAGATGTTTTGTTGTTATCAAGTTTAATCCTGGTTGTTTGTGGTATATTATTTCAATTTACTCCAGTCGTCAGTGGCGAAAATGCCGCTGAATCTCTAACAATTATAGGAACAATGGAGAATGAACAGCAGGGGAATGTTAACAAATTATCAAAATCAAATGTATTAGATGTGTAAGAGGTAAAATTATTGCATCAATTACAAATTTTGTCATAAACCATGTAATGTCGTCAGATCCACAATATTTGGTATTTTTCAGTTTTTTAATTAGCAATTCATATAATTCTTCCTGGGTAAACGGACATAAAATCACTTTTGTTGTTGAATTATCGTTAACAGAAAGTACACATGTAAGACCTTGCAAAGTAAAATATTAAACTTAGGTATTTGTATCACTAAACCCCCACAGCAAAAATATTTCTACAAGTTTATTGTAGTTAGAATTCGTTTTATATGAATCAATATTGAAACCACCACAAATAATTAAATTTAAAGAAACTATTACATGACCAAAAGGAGATCTATAACAGTTAAATACTGACTTTTTTTTTAACAATAAAATTCTTATCAATAAAATATTTGTCATTGCTTATTACGTTACAAGTCAAAGTTTTTTTACCAAGATTGCAGTATCACCCCAATACCTGAGTGACAATAATAAATTATACTAGTCTGAAGGTTCCCATATTTCAGACAAGAAAGAAAATTTATAGAAGTATGCTACTCTTAAGAAAATTCCATACATTCCGAAATGAACTTCAAAACCTTAAAGAAAGAAAGTCGCTGCCGAAGTAAATTCGCATATTATTATTGTGAACCGTATGTATCATATATTGTGAATATGTGAAAAGACGTATGAACCGTATTCTTATAGAAAAAGAAGATACTATTTTGCGGCGAAGACATTACTTGAAAAAATCCAAGACATGAAGGAAGACAAATCTACCATTTAGACGAAACTTGGCTGAATCAAGACCAGACTGTCAAAAAGGTTTGGCAATATTTTGATGTTAGAAACAGCCAATGAGACTTTACTGAAGGGCTGTCAACTTTTTGTTATTTAGAACAATGCGATAGTTTTCATCGGTTTGCTAAGTACCGTTACTTTGGTTTTTTTGACGATTTATTGTCAGTCATATCGTTTCACTTGCATTATTAACTCTATCTAGTATATTTTATAAATCTTCTAATCTTTCTGCTATTAGAACAATATTGTCTGCAAACCTGATATTGCTAATATATTTTATTTTTATATCAATTTCCGCGTCGTCTAATGCTTGTTTAAATATGTATTCAGAGTATATGGTTGAAATATTTTAAGGCTGCTTCTTGGTTCCCATAAAGGTTTTGAATGATGCGGTGCGGCGTTCTTTTTCGTCTACCTTCATATTCTGCAGTCCTGAGGGTAAACTGTGCTAACATGTATACAAAAAAAAGGACTACTCATGTGCGAGGAGTGTTGAGGGTCTGTGGGAGGGAACAGACTTAAATATAGTCGATCCCAATAATATTCACAAGTATTTAAGGACGGTAAAGATGAAGATCATATGATGAACCCGAACAATCACTACCTAGGGAGTTGAAACAGCTAGTGAGAGGTTGCAGGAAAAATAGACTGCAGTTGATCATCGGCTGTGATGCGAATGCACACTATCTGACTTACTTGGGACAGTACAAACACCATGAAAAATTATTATGGAACATGATTTAGACATATTAAACGTAGGAAACAAACCGACTTTTGTAACTTCACAACGAAAAGAGTTAATCCATGTAATAGTGGCCACGACTCACGTGGCTAAAACTGTTGGATGTGGTGTCTTGTTCAGATCATAGGCACATCTGTTTTGAAATAATACTCACGTAAAGCAACCTTCGTAAAACAGGCTAGGAAGCATATCAAGCTGACTTAAAATATTATTTAGGTAGTGTTAAAAGGACGATTAGGTATAGACCAAAGACAAAGGTAAAAAGATATAGAAATCAGATGAAAATTTAATTTTGTCAAAAGATTACACAAGTAGAGCGGTTATCGTAAAGCTCTGACTGGAGGACATATAATAAGGAACTGAGAAGGACAAAAATAGAATTGTGGACAATGCATTGTGATCAGATAGAGCAAAGTGCAGAAATACCAAGGCTCAATAAAGTTCTTTTAAAGCTTTTCAGAGTGCACTTACCTGAGTCTAAAATAAAAGTGATACCACTGGACATATGGCAGAAAACTGGACTAGATACTATGACTTGACAGTCTTGCAGAACATAACACTGTCACACTGGTATGGCCAAGGCGCCTTCTGTATCCAATTTCCGACTGTTTTTCTCAAGTCGTCCATCCATCTTTTTGGTGGTCTGCCTCGGTGTCTTTTGTCTTCTCTAGGTCTCCATTCTATGAGTCTTTTGGTCCACCTATTATCATTTAAACGTGCTATATGTCCAGCCCATCTCCATTTGGCTTGTGCAATTTTTTCTATGACATCTGTCACTTTAGTCCTCTCTCTCACTATCCTATTTGGTACCATATCTCTTCTAGTTATTCCCAACATTGCTCTTTCCATTTTTCTTTGGGTTACTCTCAATTTATTTGCAGAATGTTTGGTTAAAGTTATTGTTTCGGAACCATATGTTATTACTGGCAGTATGCATTAGTTGTAAACCTTTTTCTTCAAGCAAATCGGTATGGTTCCTTTTAGAATATCTCGCATCTTGCCAAAAGCTGCCCATCCCAAGCTTATGCGACGCTGGATTTCACAAGTTTGATTGTCTTTTCCTATTCTAATTTCATGCCCTAAATAGATATAGCTAAAGACCTGATGTACTTCGTTCCCATCTACCCTCATAACATCACTTGGAACTAAATTGGTCATGTATTTTGTTTTTTCAAAGTTTATGTTCAGGCCTATTTGTTCTATTGCCCGTTTTAGTTCTTCCATCATTTTGTGAGCTTCATTTAAACTCTCGGCTATAATGACAATATCATCTGCAAAGCGCAAGTGGCTTAAGTATTCACCATCAATATTTATTCCCCTTTTAGCCCAATCTAGTTTTTTATAGGCATATTCCAGAGCTGCAGTGAATAGTTAGGGGGAGATGGTGTCGCCCTGTCTAATTCCTCGCTCTTCAAGTAATCATGTTTCAAATGAATCTGAGAGGGATCTTACCCAGCTAAATAGAAAATTCTAAATATTGTATGTAATAGATAAAATATTCTACAATAGATAACACAAAAAAATATAAAAATTTAATGGACATCAATTTTTGCGCCACATTTCTTCTACTTCCATAAGTATTTATATATTTCCAAGTATAGCGGCGCAGCATACACGCTGTGTTATTAGACAAAACAGATATTCCAACAATGGGACAAGTGTGTGTGTCGCGGAGCTTAAAGATCAAAATGTGGTAGGTCATGACGTTTTAGGTGTTTTATTATGTATACAGTACATAGTAGTACATAGATGTTTCAGTATTTTTGGTTTTTGTTTTAGAATACATCCAATGATGTTATACAAGGTGGAACACAAATAGTAAGGCCCGATGGAAGGGTTATCATTATACCACCATTGGAGAGACCAACAACGAGAAGCAGGAATAAAAAGGTAGCGGCAGTTACAGCCCCGGCTGAAGAAAGCAAACCATCTTTCAAGTATGTAATATTGATTAATATAATTAGATGTAGCCATAAATTCCCGACCAGATGTAGAAAAAATACATTTGGTAAAATATAGTGTTATTTTTTTTTATTTCACGTAACTTTATTATTCCATTAATAAATCCACAATAATTAATATATCTATACAAAACAGTGTAGAGTTTTTGGTCTTTTCAACTACCTTATTTAAGAACTTTTTTAAATGAGAAACATATAGGTACGTATTGTTAATCCAATGGTAGAGGGACATCATCCCTGGTATAGATGCATCATCACATTTTAACAAAAAAAAAATTAATTTGCCATTTGATAGTTTTTTCTAGAAGCCATCAGTTCTACACAGATCCACTACTGGGTTATTATGCATCTGTTTATTGTTATACTATTCCTTTTTTTTAAGCTGTGCTATTTGTTATAAGCTCTGTTCATCTGTCCTTTTATTTGGCCGTGGTATTTCTAAAACTCTTGTACCAAGGTAACATTGAACCTTCTCAGGCACAGCAGTGTACACATACCATACTATAATCTTCGAGACTTCACTCTCCCTCTGGGGCATCACTTGGGAAAAATTTTTCTTGAACACATTTGTAACATGTACAAGCTTGTCTTATATACCCTTTATTTTTAGACCCATTCATAAACCCCTTGATGACGAACATGTGTCAGGAAATGAGCTTGACAGCTCAGCCGATGAAGAGGAAGAGTCAGAAGATGATCCTAATAAATTGTGGTGTATATGCAACCAGCCACACAACAACCGATTTATGATATGTTGTGATACTTGTGAAGAGTGGTACCATGGAAAGTGTGTAAACATTACAAAGACAATGGGCCAACAAATGGAAGCGGAAGGAAAGGAGTGGATTTGTTTGTTTTGTAAAGTAAGTATCTTATATGATTGACTTGCATAAAATTATTTTTATATGCATTATGTTAATAAAATATGTTTAGTTAAATAAGATAAATATTGTTCTAAAGCTATTTTCTTGTGGCATTTTAAAGTAATTACTATTTAAATGGGAATAAGCCACAATGAAAGGTTAAAATACGTTTATTGACGTTTCAATTTCCACTTCGGAAATCGTTCTCAAAATACAAACATTAATCAATTAAACAAATTTTGTTTTTTTTTTTGTTACTTAGTTACATTATACATTTTAAAGTAGACGACTTTAAAAGTATATTGCCAATATTGTTGAGTTGCGTTGAGTCGTGCATTTAGTTTACTTTCAATAAACACCAAATTCTGATTTGATATGTTTATTATTTAAAAACATAAATGATGTATCCTTCGTATGTTACTGACTTAATAATACTGATATTTTCTTTTTAATAACTTCCTTTTTCAATATGAGTAACTAGATCCTACTACATTCTACCGAGAAATTAGTGACAGAATTGTTCTTATTTAGCATAATTAGAGCCGCTTCTTTGATTTTTCTCTTTTTACCGTCCGTTTCTTTTAGGACTATATTTGAATCATTCCATTGAACCCTATGTTCATTATCCCTTGCATGTTTACATATTTGAGATCTATCAAATTCTCAGTTTTTAATATAAGACTGATGTTCACTTATTCTAACATTTAATGGCCTTGATGTTTCACCTAAATAAAAGTAATCGCATTCACAAGGTATTTCATAAATGCAATTCTTTGTCCTTTCTTGCTCATTGTTATGTTTGGTTTTGGACAAATAAATGAGTCAGATAAAATTAAATTGTTAGAAGAATTTTTCACTAAGTAACAAAAAAACATTGACAAATCAAATAGAAATATTGTAATAGTGTTTTTAAATTTGCCACTATTTTAAAGGATCCTAAATTAAGAAGGCCGCAAGCAGCAGCGAGAAGAATCCGAAAAGCTTCCAGGAATTCAAGAACTTCTACGGAAAGTTCTGGTAGTACAGCAAAGAAAACAGAAACAGTGGCAAATGCTATTTCTTGTGTCGTTTGCCAAAAACCGGCTAGATCGAATTCCGTTTATTGCAGTGAAGGATGTATCCTTGCTCACGCACAAGGAATCGAAACGGTAAGTTAATAGGTAATATAGTGTTAACTTTGATATATAGTTTAATCATATTGAAAAATCAGTGAGAGGGTGATATGCATTATATTTATTTGTACTTTGAAATTAGGGTGAGGTCTTATAGATCATTATAGATATTGTAGATTTTATGCCTGCCTTTTAAATCGTTAATGGTATCGAGTCCTTGGTGGTATGTTAACGTTCCGTGGCATGTTTCCCACAAAAAATTTCTGGCACATCTGGACGTCGCAAGAAGTATTTCTTTTTGCATGGTCCTATGCAGATGTTCACCAAGACTCTAGAAGACTCTTCATAATGACGTCAGTATCTTATATGCTGGAGAATCCCACAAAAATTACTATTAGTATATATTTAGAGAAGTGATGGCAGGAACTGAAGGCGGCCTTTTGGTCAATTGAATATTTATAATTTTTTTCGATACTTAGCTGCCCATTATATATTCTGGGCAGCATTCCCATCTTATTTTGAGACTTATTATTCATACTCCACGTTTCAGCAACTTACATGACAGTGGTCTCACACTATTTTGTATATTTTTTTCTTAATCCTTTAAACACAAATATAGATCTTATTAATACCAATATATTATTTAAAGAGCCTGCACATTTATTTCCTTTGGCCAACCTTTTCTCAATTTCCCAATCTTCCTCCATTTTATTACATGTAAAAAGACAAATGTGATTTAGAGGTGATTTTGAATGGCCACCAAGAATGCTTGAGTATAATCCGCTAAATTTTATTTTTATAACATAATGATTTCCTTAGTTTATGCCAATGAAATTACTTCACATGTGGAATTCTGGAGAAAATACAAAATACTGGTAATTTTATAAGGAGGGTATAATATGTTTGTAACCTCAGAAATTCCTCTTGAAGGAATTGGGAAAGGCGTAATTCTTCTCGACGGAATGGGGAAGGTATAGAAGTCGGAAACTATGTCGAACATTTAGTATGAGTTTCTTTTGAATTAAATTGTTTTGTATTTTTGATCTAACGTCCAAATAGGAGCTTTACTTTACAAGTTTGTTATTAGAAATACCTTTCTAATACTTTAAACTGTTCACTTACAATTTTCTTTAAACAGTTGAAATTATCGTTACAAGAGTAACAAAATTTCGTAAAAATAATTTTTACATAATTTTTTCTAATCAAAATCACTTTACTTTCGTTAAAAAAAACTTTCGACTCAATTTTATTATTAGTAGTTATCCCAAGTGGCGCCTCGTATAGCATAATATAAAATAATATTCGTTGTCCAAAATTACGCCTTTTTGCCGATTTTGATAATAATTTATAAATATACAGTGAAATGATTAGCAAAAAAACGAAAAAAAACACATTTTGGTCCAAATATCGTGTTTCTAGTGGGCTTCCAAATATTTACAACTCACCTTGTATAATTTTAATTTTTCAAGAAATATGTATGTATTTTACTAAAAACTGCCATTTTAATTTGACCTTAATAAGTTCTTATAATAACCTCATTCATTTTTAAGGTACTGGTTTATGAGAGATCAACTGGTAAGATGGTAACTGGAAATAAAGTTCCGAGTGCTGCTAATCTAGATCAGTGGCTCAAAGAACATCCAGGATTCGAAGCTGTTAGATCAGGAAACGTTAAAGAAGTCGTGACCCCAAAGGTAAGTTTTATTTTTGGTTTTTGTATTTGTCATTACTGTTACTTATTTATTTAAATAAATTATTTCTATATTAGTCTTTCCTTTTATCCCTATAAACCTATAATACTATTATATAATTGAACTATAATAGAATAAGTGCCCTTGCGGCTTGTTTGAAACTAAATGCTGAAATTAAGAAATATTTCTATATCCGTAATCTCGATTATAATATATTTCGAATATAAATGCCTATGTCCGAACTTTGATATCGACGATGTGATATAATTCGAAGTCGTGGAGTAAAATTTTATTGGTAGCTAATAAATTAAGTAATTTCAAACAATGACTTAACGCAACTCGAGTGAGGAAAATAATCCGTTAGACTACACATTACAAAGAGTTCAACTCCAATTTATAAGTTCACAAATAAAACTACAATTCATCAAAATGTACGTTGAACCGAGTGCTAGAGAAATACAATTCGAACAATGAAATGATTGCAAAATAATGTAGCAACTGATTCAATTCTACCGGAAGGTAAATAATCTCGTAATTAAAGGATAGATATGTATTATTATTAGAATAAGTACAGTTATGTAGGTATATGATACGTTACGATTAATATTAACAACAATGTTGCAAAATATTTGTATTCTACAAGTGAGAGGAGAAAAGTAATGGAAGGATGAATGTGCATTAAAAAGGTATAGACATATTTTCAAAGTACATAGTTGGTTGCAGATGCAGAATAATTTCGTCGAAACTGGAAAATTATGATACTTATTCAAAATTGCAATTCTAACAGTCATACATTCGTGAATAGAAAGAAACTGTGCCGAAGTTTTGAGTAACAGTTCATCTGAAAAGCTGCCTACGTGGATCTGAAAATAGTTTTAAGAGAAGGGCCTTTAATTTTTGACTGCTTAGTCTTCAAATATAATACCCATTTTGCCGTTTTGATTATGAAAGTAAAGGAAAGTTATAAATGTAAGCATAGACATATCACACTTTGTTTACAATAAATTGTAAACAAAGAAATACAATACAAATGTAAAAATACAATTTAGATGTATCTAGAAACATTTCAGATTAATTATTGGTCTGCTTTTACAGTAAATAACTAATTATATCTGCTAAACTTCCTATATAAACAAAAGATATATCTAAACAATTTTTACATAGGTTTTAACAAATGAATTGAAAATAATTGTTATATGTCGGAACTTGTTCCAGCATATTTTTCTTCGAGGGCATTCATTATTTACATAGACACTTATGCATCTGAAAATAGTTTTCGGGTCATTATGTTCATATTTTTAGTTCCACTACTAAAAATTCAATAAAAGACAACGAATTCAGTTTTACTAAGTTTTATAACAGATTCACCTTTTATTCTAAACTATGTTCACATGTAAAACGTTTTAACAAAGTTCTAGATAGTAATTAAGAAATCAGGAATTGGGAGTCTAATTACTAGATAAAGCTACACATAAAATATAGGACATGTAGATGTTTAGAGATAGACTGGTATTATCAAGCATCCCTTATAGAGAGTAAAAATTAGATTACTAAAAATAAATAAAGGAAAGACGAAGTATATGCCAGTCTTAATAAATCAATATAATGAATATTTTATAAAAATTAAACAGTAGATATTCCAAGAAGTAGAAAGAATTGCATACTTATTATTGTAGGCCTTCGCGCGGTTTCCAATGTGAAACACTCCCTCCGTCTTAGTATTTCACGCTGACTGATGTACATCTATGAACATAAAAAAGTTTTTCTTTCATGTTATCCCCACGAGCATCGCTCATTGCATTAGTTAATCTGTTAAAATCTCATACAACAATGCACAGATTGGTTTTTCCAAACAACAAACTATTATTAGAAACTGGGAAAATGTATGGCAGTACACAAATTAGATATAATCGATAATCATTAGAGTAAATGTGTCTAAAGAAAAATGAAGAAATTCTTTGATAAAGATGTAACTAAATTGTTTGACCTGTAGTTATAAACTCAGGGCGTGAGGTGCTATCTATTGTGTAACAGTTATGACCTGAAATATATACTGCTATATAGATAAAAAATATCAATAATTTAATACACCAATAAATTCGCAGAAAAAACTAAAATTTATTTATGTGGGAATATCATAGCATATAGGACTTTGTTTTCTCATCGTGATTGTTGATCTCTACATTTTCGGCATTTATCATATCTCGTTCTTTAAATTTCTTCGATGCAATTAATAAGAATATAATTTTCTTTCAGGCTGGCAACTTGGCACAAACAAAACTCAAACTAGTGAAAAATACAACAGATCATGGTGTGTCCCTAGCCGTCCAGAAAAAGGGGGTAAATGTGGGAGTTATTAAGCATTCTCCAAAACAACAGCAGTTACACCAACAAGTGAAGTCTGCACTCAAAGCCTCTCTTCTAGGGTCAAAGCCATCTCCCAACAAAACACCGCCACCCGTCAAGGAGTCCCCTAAACCGAAATTCATAAAACCAGAAGTCTTGAAAAGTCCTCCAGTAACACCGAACAAGCCGAAATTAGTACAGACTACTTTGGTCAAAACTCCCCAAACAAGTTCTGAGAAGAAACCGAAAACGCCTGTTAGCGTGAAGGAAAGGGAACGAAGTTCGAGTATTACTGGGAAAGAAAAAACTAAAACTCCCAGACAAAGAAAGGTAATACAAAACAGTATAATGTGTACAATATTTGTATTTGTTAGTATTTATAGTTGTGAGTTAGTTGAAGATGAAGTAGGTAGTTAGATGTTTTTCGTTCAACACCCAAAGAATGCCACCAGTGGCGATATAAAAGCATGTCTTGTTAAATACATGGACGTACTATACACGATAAGAGTGTGAACATGTTGCTTAGGTTTTCTCGCAGTCGATTCTAGCCTCTACAGTAGGGCCTCCATAGCAGCCGTTTCTGTGCTCCTCATAGCTCCTGTGATTCCACGGCAAGCAAGTATTTGCAACTTTGCTTAGTTTTAGGATGGTTCTTTTTTGCTGTATTTTTGGCCACCATGCCACCGATGCATATGTAATGCATCAGTGTTTACCATCATGTTATAAATCCAATACCACGTCTGATTTAAATCCCACATTCTTCCATAAGTGCGTCTTGAAACCAATAGTATCTAGAAGTAAGCCTTATGAATACTTGCCTGAGGGTTCTTTGAGACAACTTTGTCGAGCCTTGACATTTCTATTCTTCTTCTTCTCGTGCCACTCCTAGCGCAGATTGGAAATCATCATGGCCACTGTGACTTTGTTAGCAGCGCGCCTAAAAAGTTCAATCGAACTACACCCGAACCATTCACGTAGATTACGAAGCCACGATATTTTTCTTCTTCCCACACTTCTTTTCTATAGTCAGTTTTATCTCCCCACAATGCCTTCTTCACGATTCTCTTTTTGCTCTTCTCAGCTCCCTATTAAGTATATTCAGTCTGAGCGGTGCGACTCACATGATCTTTGGGCGAAATTAAATTTTTGTCCAACTTCTGTCCTTTTATTTGCAACATTATCATTCTATCAGGGTACTTTCCTGTTTGAATTCCTCATTATCTCCATACAATGGTCTTCGATTACTAAAATGACATCCTCTTGAAATTATTCGGCGGTCATTATACGTCCAGTGTGTGATTTATCGTTCCTTTAATCTTGTCTAAACAATATTCCAGGGCTGTTTGATATGCCTCCTAGTTTGTCTTACAAGGGTTATGATAAGTTTTCTTGATAGGCTCATTGCCTAATATTTCAAAACATATGTGTCAATGTTTTAAACAAGTCACCTCATCTGACAAATGCCATTTTTTAACAGTTCCAGCCATGTGAGTCGTGCCCATTGTTATATCAATTATCTCCTTTCGTTGTGAAGTCACAAAAGTTAGTTTGATTCCTACATTGTGTGTGTCTAAATCATATTCCCTAAGCTGTATTCACTTTTCCTGCAGTCTTTTACCAGCTATTCCAACTTCCTTGGTGGTGGTTGTTCAGGATCATCATATGAGAGATATGTTGATCCGAGAATTCTCTGAGAATCTCTGGAATAAAAATTCATCAACGGCAGTGTTTTGATTATCATATATGATAACATATATGTTTGACTATCATACAGGTCCTCGGGACTTCGGTACATCGGCTATATATAAGCTCTCCACTAATGCCCAATAGACCTCTTATTTGACCTATGTAAACCCATCTTGTGTCAAAGCAACATCGAACCTTGTCGATATTGTTCGAAATATGTACCGACTATATTACATGTCTACTAGATGCGAAGAGTATTGTATTAATAGGGTATACCCAATTTTGAGCAAAGGCAACTTCTTTGCGTATATTTGTGTTGGTATCATTAAGTGTACACAAATATACGGGACCTACAGTGTGACGTCGACTCCGAAGGACTAAGTGTAGAGCAGCTGCATTAGACAGATTACGATTTTGTGGTTTGTCAGGGTCTTCGAAACGGCGGCGACATATGCTATACCTTTTGATTTTTGTACTGGGGATCAAGCCCTCCTCATTCGGCACCAAAGGCGGATACACATTATTACCTAATACGTACAATAGACCTGTTTGGTATTGTGAACCATTTTTTTCGCATTACCTTCGCTATCAGTCATCCAACTCCTGCTCTATCTCACCTTCAAAGCTTCTTTCACTAACATTATCAATATCTTGATCGCTACCAGATTCGCTAGAAGAACTGGCCTTAGCTTTTTCTAAAAGACGCAACAATCTGCGTTGATTATATTCGTACGACATTCTAGATTTTTATCCTGAAAATAAAGCAAAACAATGCATACAGTAATAAAAATGTGTTCAAATTTGTTACAAGTAGCGTAAGGTGCTTTTACACCCACCATTCGCTGGGCGGCAATCGACTAAATCAGTGGGAGTTGACGCTTATGATAACTAGTCACTATTAAGAGCGTAGGCGCAAAATTTCGGGCCAATAATTTTTAAAGGCACACATTTTTTTCGAATCCCAAGAAAACTGACAACTATTTTTGAAAAATTTGAAAAAAAAAACAAAAAGTTTTTTTGAGTGAGATATTTGAAATTAAAAATCACACTAAATTTTCTCTTTTTTTTTCACCCCTGTAACTTATTAAAATAAACATGAAGTTTTCAGGGACTTTCGGCCCTCGGTAATAATGTATTCTTTCATGCTGCGTTTAAATTTTTAAGAAATAATTATTAGTTTTCTCAGGATTCGAAAAAAATGAATGTTTTTAAAAAGTATTGGCGCGAAATTTTGCGCCTACGCTCTTAAAATATTTATCGATATTTTTACGTCTGTGCGTATTACACCCAACCCTACGCTCGCCTGGTTAATTGAGACCCTTCTGAGGGTAGAAATATTAAAGTGATTGTTGCTTTGGACTGTCATTACTCTACCAGCGGTTATATTATTAGTTTTAAATAAATTGATGATCTGTTTAGCAATTAATGAAGTTTGTTTAGTCATTGATATCCCATTGTAGTTTAGATTCCAGTGAGAATCATATTTCGATTATTTTTAGGATAGCACAAAAGACAGGGAAGAAACTACTCCTCAAAAACCTCAGGAAAATATAAGAGAAAACGTCCAAAAAACCGTATTTGAACAACTGACGAACCGTTTGAAAGGTGTTAATGACCTAAAATTATCTGAAGAAGAAGTCAAATCAATATCGTTGGAGATCGAATCTCAGCTGTACAAATGTTTTGGAGATACAGGTCAGAAATATAGAAATAAATATAGGAGTTTAATTTTTAATATAAAAGATGTTAAAAATCAAACTTTGTGGAGACGAATATGCGAGAAAAACATAACACCGTATGAATTGGTAAGATTTAAGATTATTTTCTCAAATTTCTAACTTGATATTAACGTTTCTCATTTTAGGTTAGGTTGTCAACGGATGATATGGCCAATCAAGAATTAGCACAGTGGAGAGAAAAGGAAGCCAAACATCAATTGGATATGATTAAAAAATCTGAGTTGGAGTTGCTAAATTGTAATCGACAGTATGTACTCAAGACGCACAAAGGTACATATAAGTATACTAATACTAGTTATAATACTAGTTTTGATTTTAAAAACATTGAATTTTATTTCGTTTCTTCCCTAAGTCTAACCTTCTGATTCCATGTGGATCCATATTTCCCAAATTATTATATATCTAGATGTATCGCATGTTGATATATATGCTATCATTTAATGATAAACTAAGTGCAAAACAAATCGGGACACATCGTGTTTTACTGTTTATCATATTTCGAATCTGGCAGCATAAAACGGAGTTTGCGGAAAAAGTGAATCAGTTTTTATTGTCAATTGCATAAACGTCAACCTAGAAAAACCCATATATTATAAAATAGACTGAGCAAGGCGGCAACAGTTTTCAATGTCAAACAGATCTCTCAACTAATTTCATATATCTCTCTCTCTAGCTCGTTATTTTATTTTACTCTCTCTTTCTCTCGTCTCTATGTCAAATGGGAGTCACTTATAACTTATCAAAGTTTACTTTCATTGGTATAATGAATATAATCAATTTATTAAAAAACTATATGGTATGTGGCTCACGTGCGCGGTCTAACTATTAAAATGCCTATACACATAGACATATTGATATAATATAAATATATGTTTAGTATAACGTATAACTACTCTAACAGTGGTATTCATAGTTGTTCGCCAGGAAGAGTCGCCGACGGTTCTTCAGTTAGCGAACTCTCCATCGAGATTTCATCCCCTGTTTCATAGTCAATCTTCGGAGAACCGCTAGTGGGCGATCGGTTACTTACTACTCGATATGAAAACGTAGACGTATTGTCATAAAATCCACGGCTTCTCGCAATCGTACTTGTGAACTCGACTGGAGTTACAATTTGCCAAATTTAAATGTAATCGTTTCTACTCATTCATATAAATATTATAATGTATAATATATTAAAGTTTTTAATATTGGTAATATTATTAAAGCTTTTAATATTGTTTTTTAATATTAATAATAATATTAAGTAATTAAATACTGCGCCTTGCTTAAAAAAAAGTACGAGATAAATAACTCATTTTTTTTAATGATATTGCAATTTTCTTGCAAATGCTTGGTTTTTTTTATAAGATAATACAAATTGTATGAAGAGTAGCTAAGCGTTGGATAGTCAGTGGCGAATCTACGAGGAGGGAAAAAGTATCTTCTTTTTTTTGCCAATACTTTGACTGAACATAAAACCAAGAGAGGATGGAATGTTGTCAGACCATTAATAATATTGAATTATAACCAGTACGTGACAAAAACGATGTAGAACATGTTGTATGGATAAAATTTGAAAAAACACAATTTACGAGTGTGCTGATTGTGACAAAAAAAACCTAGACTATGCATAGGATATCGTTTTCGTAAATACCATTCAACCAACAGATAGATTGCATCCAGTATATTAGTTTAAATAAAAATTTTATTTTCTAAAGACCTTTTAATTGTTAGCTGATGAAGCTAGGATGCTGGTTGAAAAAGCCAATTTGGAAAAAATAGAATTAGAAAAAAAAATTATCTTCCAAAACAGTCGATTAATTATGTGTGTTTTTTCATTTTTTTATTAGTTTCATTTCGGTAAGGCTATTATTATTTTACTCATATTTATATGTGTAATTTATTATTACTTGTAATTACATTTACAGTTTATTATTACTCTTATTTTACACACATTCATGTGTTACTCGTACATACATTTATTTTTCTTGATTTGTTTTTTATTTATTGATATGGGAAAGTGATAGGTTTTTAAGGAATTTTGAGTAGTATTGAGCAGGAAAATTTTTAATTTTAAAAAGAGAGAATTGTAGATATTTATTTATTACTTCAACACGGCTAAGTGAAAGAGCGCCAAACGGTGTAACATAAAATTGAAATCAATTAAAATGTTGTTCAATAAGTCTTCTTCGTACAATATGTCCAATATTTTGAGCTTGATTCGGTATGTGAGGTTCATTATCATCCAGTTCTTCTTCCACATTATCTTGTTCATCATTTACATCATTCACTTTGATCCCAATATTGTGAAGAACTGCACATGCCACAATTATTTCTGGAACTCTTTCCAATTTATTATTTAAAAACCCCGACTCAAACAACAAAATCTTTATTTCCACAATCCAAACAATCTCTCAATGGTATTTCTCGTTCTAATATGAGATCTGTTATACCTTACTTCTTGTTCAATTCCAGGATTTAAAAGAGGCGTCATTAAATACGGTAAACAAGCATAGCCACTATCTCCAAGAAGAAATCCTGTTAAACTGCCATTCTCGAAACGGTGTTTCACTGAACTATTATTGAAGATCATCGAATCATGTTCTATTCCAGGCCAACGAGCTACAACATCAAAAATTTCCTAAATTGGGTCCACCCACTACTTGGACGTTTATTGAAAAATATCTTTTCCTGTTTCTATATACCTCGGCCATATTCCCTACAGGACTTTTTATTGGTATGTGGGTACAGTCTATACACCCTGTTACTTTGGGAAAATTGGCAATATCGTAAAACAGCCTTTGGTTCTTTCTCTGGTTTTCGAGACCTTCAGGAAATTTTATATATGTGGGTAATAACTGAGCAGGTAGGCGGGAAATTTTAAAAATGCAACTCGAAACCGTGGGTTGTGAAAATCCTCTAAGATCTCCAGTTACAATCTAAAAATTCAATTAAAATTAACTATACTACGATCTACCATATATAATATTAAAAAATATATACATATATCATGTTCTGAAAATATATTCTTTAATTTATCCTACCTGAAAATTTCCAGTAGTATAAAATCTCAAGGCAACTAATAGACATAAAATGGGTGGAAACGGTAATCCACGTCGAATAATTTTCACCATTTCATTATATATTACTGGCAACATTATTTCAATAACTGTTTGTTTTCGAAATCTATACCTTTTTCTAAATTCATTATCATTATAAAAGTGTAATGGATTTTGCATGTCCCTTGTATATCTTCTGGGTACTTGTAATATATCATTTTGTTCATTTATTTCTCGGATAACTACATAATATTGATGTAAATCGTCCATTGCAAGCGTATTTTAAATTGACGGGCGAATCGCCAGAGCATGCATAAACCTTCTCTGGCGAAACTTCGAAAATATCTAAACAGGGCATGCGTCATTCGAGTGTGAGATCACTGTGAAAGCGACTGGCGCGTATCCAGCGAAATGCCAGCGACTGTTCGGAGAAAGATGCTTTACGCTTGCGTCAACTAGGCTGTAGGTCGACTATGAAACACAGATATGGTGGTGAACAGCCAGCGACGCGCTGGAGACCGACTATGAATACGAGTGTAATTCTCCCACCTTTGTACAAAAATACAGAGACTGCGGAAAATAGTTTAAGAAAGATGGTCCCTTCACTTTGCCTGATTAAACGCAGTCTATGTATATATTAAGTCTATGGAAAAACCTTCGCTATCTGTTGTGATAAATTGCGTACTTGTAATAAAAACAACACTTTATAAACAAACAATTTTGAGGTTAGAAAACTAGCAGTATCTCACGAGATAAGAGACCATAGGAAAGTACAGAAAAATATTTCGAGATTATAATTGAATAATAGTTTTTTGTATTAATCTTTCAACACAAGTCTATTAAGTATTTTCGATGCATATCCGTTGCATATTTGGTCGTATCATTTTTGCAAAACATTGCCGTGTTGTTGGGATTGTAGAAAGTACAGATAAATCTTGGATAATTAAAATGTAAGGTTCTGTGTGTTCAACAGAGGAGATGACATTAGGTAACCGTAAGACGACAAAAAATAATAAATTATACTGAAGAATTTATATTATTAAATTCTAATACAAAACAAATTTCTACTAAGCAAAATATTTATAACTATTCAGTATGTTATCCTAAATTATAAATGTCATTATAAATTTTAATACTTATATTCTAGTTGTCTTCTAAAGGATAAGATAAATGCTAAATAAATCAACTTAGCGTATTAAAAGTGTTGATTAATGAATTTTATATGTTTAACATGTAAAGTGCCAAGGGGAATCAATTGTTGATCCGTTTATGCCGTGGGAGATGCATGTGGTCCGACAGACCAGAAATTACTTACATCCCTGTCGCTTAATTTTTTTGCGTAATTTCTAAGTAAATGATATGGCATTCTATTAAAATGATATCAAGTGGAACGAAAAACAAATTGGTTTTGACATAAACATGATTTTACTTTTTATATGGCAATGAAGAATCTAATGAATTTTTACAAGAATAAATTATTTAAAATTAGAAATATGTAACTCTTAAGAAAAATTTAAAAAAATGAGAACGATTTCTGGATTGGAAATCGAAACTTCAAAACAAGTACCATTCTGAAGCTATTTTTTATATTTTTATATTTGTCAAAACAAGTATAAAATGTAATTCTCATTACAATTAATTGTGGTTTAATCGTATATAAAATAATATTTAACTTAAAAAAGCCACAAGAAAAGAGTTTCAGAACCTGTTTGTTTTCTGAGTAAGGTTTTTGGTAATCTGGTCGATCTGATAGTTTAGAAATTTTTGCGTAGAAATGGATCGTAGGATTTTTTTGGCGTCTTCAAGAATATGGTCTGGTTCTTGGAGGTTATCCAGAACTCAGATGTCCTTACATTTTAGTAGTCTCACCTACGAGAGCATGCATTGAAATTTTTCTACTGTCATATATTGACATAAAAGTGAGGATAAATTTCTGTCGATGTTACGTTATGTTTCGCATTTTTTCCATCTGATGTGATTTTTATATTCCTATTTTTTTTGTAAATTAAATATATATATATATATATATATATATATATATATATATACTGAAATAACATTAAAATCATCATAAAAAATGACACAGATTTTTTTCATTCATTAATAACGAGTCAACATGTCATGTTAAAACTTTTTGACAATTTTGCAACGTTGGTATCTTTGATAACTCAAGTTTTTTCTTGGTAAAACTCGTATGGGGGAACGCAAATTTTAACTAAGAAATTTTTT